AATGCCGAGTAAATTTTCCATGCACGTCTCTTACCAGCAGCTCCTTGCCCAGCATTACCCCTAGGATTGGTGTTAGCACCTAAACACAAAATAACGATGATAAGCACATATAGTCCGATTAGATTCGTATAATCATCAACATTACCAATAAATCACTATCATTATGAAATAATGATTTTATTTATACACGATCATCGTCATTATCATTACTGTCATCACCGCTATCATCATCATAATCACCACAATTAACCATCAGCATAATCACCATACTCACATTTATAATGATTATAATCGCATATAATAATAATATAAAACATTCGCCTGGATTTATTACCTGTCCAGGCCATGTGAATTGCATCATTGGTGGATATCGTCAACCTTTTGGGCACAAAATCATATTCCACAGCCGGATATACTTGAACAATATTTCCTCTTTTCCCTCTGATGTTGACATTATGGATATTGAGGTCATTTGGTAAATCATTTCTAGATCTTGGTTTCAATATGAACATGTGTGACCGATCCTGGAAGGTTCTTCCAAACTGTGCTGTGTTAATGGCCAGTTGTAATGGAAGCTTGTCGAAAAGTCTCACTGTTGGGTTGGTCTTTATTTTATTTCTACAATATAAATAATTCTTAGACACTTTTACCCTAGAACGGTCGGTTTACTTATAGTTGGGTCAGGCTAAATTTTTTTCCGTGACCTCCCCCCCCCACCGACCCCCGGACATATACAGGAAAAGGGACGAAAAAAAATTTTCCGGACCTATAACAAAAAATTTTCCCAGACATACACTATTTTTAAACAAAATATAGGAAATTTTTCCCCTTATACCTAAATTTTCAAAAAATACCCTGAATTTTTTCTTAATTATCAAAATTTTTCCAGAAAAAACAGAATTTTCTGGGGGGTGGCTAACCCCCCCCCCCTTTTACTTCTGGGGGGGGGCTTCAGCCCCCCTAGCCCCCCCTGTTCCGTCGCCCCTGAGTTGGGTAATAACGATGAGTGTATATTAAGAAACGTCAAGTCTTGAATGTAATTTCTTCCGATCGATTATAAACATTTACTTTAAGATGTCTTGAAAATTCCATATATAAGCTCTTCAACGTTCTATCTAATTAACTAACTTTTCTTATTTTACGCCATTTTCTTGCGGAAAAAGATAGAAAAATTAATAAACTTACAGTGGGTCGTTCGTTGAAATATTGTATCTAAAAACAGACAAAATATTAGTTTGTATATTTTAGAGGTAGTATAAAAGGAAATGTATTTCCTAAATGCACCCATACCAAGGGATCCAATGTACAGAGGGGAGGGGTTGCCCCATGATAATGCCAAAGAACTGCATTATCTTGACGTCTGACTCCAGCAACAATAAACATGCGTAAACCTACCAATATACCATGCATGCAAGGAATCCAATGTACAAGGGAACTGAGATAATTTATGTCTTAGACACTAAATATGCAAATCAGTGAAAGCTGACAATTAAAAGGTTAAAACGCCCAGAATGTCTGATTGTCACCGTTTCTTTCACCTACGCTGACTTTAACCTTCTCTTGAAGTATAAGGTTTTTTCGGGTTAGACTTCAGTCATTGCCATTTTCCTTCAGATTCAGTGTCCACTTGACATTAAAAGCACAGTTCAGCCTTTTGATTGATGGTTTTTAAGGCGCATTTGATCTTGAATGATGCTTAATTGATTTTCCTAGTTAGTGTTTTCAATTAAAAGGGCTGAAATGCGCCTTAAAAACCATCATTCAAAAGGCTGACCTGTGCCTTTAACTAATAATCATCACATCCAATTTTAGTTCTAAATCACGACAATCAGTGCATACCATACCTGATTCGGAAAAAACATCTCTGTTCCTTCTGAGATGGGTAGTGTGGCAATTTCCACTTATAGGTAAGAGGAGTGATGCCATTTCCGTTGCCAAGGTGATTAGAACGCGAGTACGGAGCCACGAGGCATTCAGGCTTTTTCAGTGGGACCACACATTTCTTCTTTATTTCACCTCTATCTTGATCGTATTCATCGGAACGATAAGCATACAGCCACTTATTACCTGCAGCTTCGCAGCTTCCTTGTGTATTTTGCGGAGCTTTCTCCAAGTAATTGTGAAAGTCGATCCATTGTCCTTGGCACTCTGCAGCGTTGTTGTATTTTGAATCGTGTTTGAAAGATCCGTCACTGTATTTCTCCATACATTCCCCTACACAATAAAATGTTAGGATATCCGGAGATGAGCAACCAATCACTGATTGCGTGAAAAGCACTATATGCACCTCCTGAGCCTTTCTAAATATTTAACAATTATTCGCCTCAGGCTCGTGGTGATTATCGGGGAATATTCAGTAAACTTCCATAAAACTGGTGGCCGCCATTTTGAAAATTTCTGTTTTGTTTGTTATATTCACCTGTAGGTGAATATTATACAATTACTTTATGGTTTCCGTGTTTGGATCATAGAGATTATAAATAACACTAGAGGAGGCATCGAGTTTAAAAATTGGGAACGCAGCTATTGGGGGGCAAATTCAAGTCCCGGATATAAAATCGTGCTCTCATTGGCTGATTTGAAACTCGTCACCAATGGGAACACGAATACACATCCGGGACTTGAATTTGCCCCCCCCAATAGTCGCGTTCCCTTTTTTTTACTGAATTAAGATTACAATGCCTCCTCTAGTGTTATTTATAATCTCTATGGTTTGGATGGCCTGATCCAAACACACGGGAATGTTGCGAGGGTTAAGAAAAGCGAGCGAAAACACGAGCCGAAGGCGAGTGATTTTGCCCGCTTTTCTTAACTCGAGCAACATTCCCAAGTGTTTGGATCATTCCATCCAAACACGGAAACCATAAAGTAATAGTTTTATCATAACAACAACACGATAGTCTTCCGTGTTTGGATGGCCTGATCCAAACACGGGTTTCGACCAATCAGAATACGCGTTATATACATGTTATTTTATAAAACAGCTTCTTACGTCAAATTTGACCAATCAACGTGTAGGATTTGTTATGTTCACTTGTGCAAAAATACTAAAACAGCTTAACACGTCAAATTTGACCAATCAACTTGTAGGATTTGTTCACTTGTGCAAAAATAATAAATGCTAATATCTATAATTACTCCTGCATGCTTGCATATATACCCACCTTTCGGTTTGACGTTAAAACTCTCGGTCTGATAGTAGGAACAGTCGGCTTTCTTGTCAACTAACACTGCAATGTCAGTCCAATCCGTCGGATGCCAGTAGGGATAGTAATCACGTTCCTCGGGACATTCAAATCCATACCGCGTACCCTTTGGATTTTGACGGGTATATATACTTGCGTGTTTTCTAGATCTTGATAAGTCTTTGTCTGCGGTAAAGAGACCTATCGACAGTATGAAATTTAGTAGTAGTTTATTATTGTCAATGGACAACTTAGGCAAACATGTGTTGTTCCTCATGTTAGACTAAATTTTAATCGAAGTAAAGAGAAGGGAATCAAACACCACAGCTAAAAAGAACATAATGAAATTAGTAAAATTAATTTTATTTTTTTTTGTGTTGGTGTTGTGTACTCAGGTGAATAATATGTTTGCGATGTTACTCTATTACATCACTCATATTACTAGAATACATTGGTATTGAAGGAACTAGATACTGTTCCGAAATATCACTTACTCGAACCGTCCTGACCGCGTAGCTCAGTTGGAAGAGCATTGGGCTAGTATTCCAAAGGTCGTAGGTTCGAATCCCACCGTGGCCGGGCATATTTTTCAAGCTCGCCCGGTGTGGATATGCACTCAGAGTAACATCGCAAACATATTAGTAAAATTGTTTGCTAAATCAGTTGTAAAGCTTGGAAAATATAGTCTTGCAAAGTTTGCAAATTTTGTATGTGTTTTGTATTACGTGCGGAAATTGTTATCATTTTCGGCTCAAAAATAGTAACAATTTCCGCACGCAGTACAAATACAAAATATGCAAACTTCGCAAGGCGATATTTAATATTTTCCGTATTTTACAACATTTCGTAACCAAATTTTGCAATTTTACGTTCTTTACAGGAATTTACTTTTTTTTTGCCAAGAACAAAAATTAGTCCAACATGCAAGTTATCTATTACACAGGATGTGGTTTTCCATGTCACGTAAACGAAATGTCTTATTGGAGAACGAGCCCAGAACCTTGCCTTAGCAAAAAGATTGAAGAACATTTTCAATTTGTCACACAATGCGTGATTTGGATGCGCAGTGGAAATTCCGAATTAACTTATTAGTGTGAATGACAAACATTAACATGATTAATTTAATCTGTGTTTCTTCTTTTGTTACGGGGAGGAGGGAGGTGTCTTGGTGTGGAAGGGAAGTGGGCTTATTATTGTCTAAAAACAGGGGTTATAGAGAAGGGGATTTTATTTGAGAGGAGTATATTAACAGAGGATTTACGGTCAAACAGATTCTGATGCCTGAAAGGGTCTATCGCTATAACCTACCATGGTTACGATTTCTTTTGGTGCACTTGTCGTACCAGGTCCATGGTTCATTAAGACCATAACTACTGTGCCTTGAATGATACTTTTCTTCTCTGTCTTTTTGTCTTTTACTTGTAAATGGATTGTGTCGTCGATATCGAGGTGTCGATTCCGTCTGACCTGTAAGGGCAATAATAATTATTTTGTTACTGGCAAAATTTGCAATTCTACCACTTTGCGCGAGCTTATCAGATGCATTTAGTGAAAACAAAGTGTAAACAAAAAATGTAAATCACTTTACAGAATACAGAAAATCAATTACAGAACTTTCGTCAGAATAATAATGCACCTATTACACAATTGTATTAAATATAAAATGTATTCCTACCGTTTCGTTTTCTGTTAACTATTGTGTTGGAGCCAATGTCACGTTCTTCATGTTCCTGGCACATGTACTGCAATATGATTTGGCAATTGAGGTCACCGTCTCCACATCCATGTTGATTTGTCCACTCGATATTCAAATAGGTTGCCCCCTTGTCTTCACTGTCCGCTTGTGGACCGCTCATCACATATTTCTAGAATTGGATCATTCTGAGGTAGTTTTATATATTTATTTACTAGCATAGTGTTCTGTCCAAACGCGGCTTATCTATACAAGACTTCGGTCGATAGAACAGAATATTGAAAGGTTTTGTAGATGCAAATTTTGATCGACCGCCCCTTAACTAGGTGATTAGTGATTATCTATTGCTTGATTGGGGTGCTGTTTTTTAGGGTTTGTATAATCCAAGTGAGTATATATACACTTTAAGACCTGACCAGGAACGACTGCGAAAAATGCAGCACAAGGTCCTCTGGTAGGAATTAAACCTACGGCCCTGCGATTCCAGTGCAGCGTTCTAACCAACTGAGCTACGAAGGCCAGCTGTTGAGCTGTAACCGTAAGTTCATGTATATATAGGTGATCGGGTGTGCGGGTTGTGATAAGGTGGAGTTCAATGATCTGGTTTATTGCACTTCAATGATCTGGTTTCTTTTTTTCTTTTTTTTTATACAAACTCTAAAAACAGCATTCTAATATTCACCAAGTGAAGTGCAAGAGACCAGATCATTGATTGGGGTGGCCCATTGAAATGAATATCACTGGAACGCTACCTTCAATGATAAACTGTCTGGAGGTAAGATCACGCGTGTTGATGACATAATTGACTGATTGACGTATGCGTGAAAAGGCTGGGACTGGTCTTCAAGTTTCACTTCAAATTTCCGGTTGGAGGTATAGCGTTCCAGTTCTATTCAGTTCAATGTGGTGCACCGGTTTATTGGAGAGAAATGCATGCAGGCTTATTCATTTGGCCAAAACGGCTCTTAATAGTAGGTGTATGATTTGTGAAGGACGTCTTCCAAAGGCTATCTGTTTTCTCGTGTTCTCTTGGAATTTCACCTTTGTCCCCCATAAAGATTTCACCATGTTTCACTGACGACTCGGAGTTCCCCAAGTTTATATATATTTCCTTGTATCCTATGATCTTTCTAGCTTTGTTTCATTGTTCACAATATTGCAAAATATTTCCTGGAATTCCCTCATTTATTTGATATGAGAATCGGATTCAAACACGCGGTAAAATCATGATTGAAATTACACTGTAATTGACAGTGCAGCTTAAGTAGATTAAGGGGGTTTTCGAAAGGGGGTTTTCGAAAGAGCTTCAAATCATCGCTTTCATTCAGCTGGCTTATTAATACGAATTTAGAAAGGCTATTTTCTGGCGAACTCAGACAGTGTTTTTCCTCTGTTAGTCACAGTGCCACATTATATTTGCCACCCAAAATCGTGGATTTCACGATGTGACATACACTGTAAATTTTGAAGGAGTTGGATAAACTCCAAGTGTTATTCTGTCACGGGCTTTTATGACAGAATTTGACTTTTGGACAGTGGTGTCAAGTAACGAATGTACTTCGTTACTGTACTTGAGTACTATTTTGGAGAAGTCCGCATGTAACAAAGTAAACGTTTTCTGGAGTACTTTTACCTGGAACGAAGTCGTTTTAAAAAGTAACGTTTTACTTCGTTATTTTCATTTTGTGGCGAAGTATTTCGTTACTTTCTCACATTTGTTTAATTTTTTCCTGATTTATTTTAATTTTGGGATAGGTAATAGGACCTCTACATGCGTCTGGGATCTCTCGTTTGTGACTTACTTATCAATAAGCATTATTTATTTAATGGATTTCTTATATCTTCAACGGGGTCTGGAAAGTAGACCATGCCGTGAAATATTGTTAATTATTGTGCACGCATATAATGCGTGTGCTGTTTTGTGTCTTTTGTATGTCAATCCATTGGAGAAGTCCCCCCCCCTATAGACAATAGTACTTTTACTTTTATTTTGTACTTCAAGTATTTTTTTTGCCTCCAGTACTTTTTACTCTTACTCAAGTCGTTTTATTGTTAATTACTTCTACTTTTACTCGAGTACAAATTCAAAGTAATTTAAGCACCACTGCTTTTGGAGTTCATTCAATTCAAGCACCTTTCCGCGTGATTGCAAGACAATAATATGACGACCTAACGTACACAAGTGTCAAAATAGTGTACTGACTTTCCCAACAGGCAAAAACTACACTTTCTACATTGCTTATAGCAAGCTTCAGATCACTTCAGCATCTCAATAAATTATGTATAACAAGAATCACAATAATAATAATCATTACCATGTTGAACTGGTTTCTTTCTAGAGTATTCGCCCGATCATTTTTTTCCCCAACATTGTAACCGCCTTTATTGTTGTTCTATAAAGAAGTAGAGACAATGTGAGGCTGGCCATTACTCAGAATTTTCGACAGGCATATATAAATAGGGGAATTTATCAAATATGTGAAAAAGCATTTAGCCAATTATTGAGTTGCAGTAACTTAATTGTGTGGATTACAACGGCTGTTCATGACTAATATATTGATCTGGTACACAGTTAATCTTAGGAAAAACTAAACTAAACACAGACACAGTATAAAAGCTGTGGCCGTAAAATTAATATTCCAGCCGTTCGATCGAGTCTGCCCATCCTAAAAATTCTTGTTGATGAGCACACAAAATTTCCATAAAATGTTTCCGTATACAATATGTTGGAGAACATTTTTGTCACAAGTTCATGTAGCATGCAATGTTTTCTTGGTTTTCAACTTTCAATCTGCATATTTTGAATATTCCACAACAATTTTAGCCAACAGTTCGCCCTTGGCCCTGGTATCAGCAACGACCAAATAATTAATTGACCAACTTACCTGCGAGTCGAATAAGCGATTCGCGTTTCGTCGATTCGTACCTCTTGAATTTAAGCGGTCATTCGAGCCTCTTGGGTTATGCAGATAAATATCACAGTACACGTGTTGAAATAACACTAAATTGAAGAGCAATGCGAATGAATGGAACCCTTTCATATTGGCCCCAGCGTTCGGCAAACCGTGTTAACCGGCTCTATTACAATCTACTTGTGGCCGAGAGTTTTATGCGGTAAAAACTATGGAATATCTGAAATCACCACGGGGTATATTGTGGGGTACAATCACCCTTACAAAAGCCACGGACACAATACACACGCCTCCACGTTGTTTAAAAAATGTATTCTTGAACACTCTTAATATAAGATATTATTCGGTTTTTTTTTATATCATTTCGTTTCAGCAAGGCAAAAAGAGCGAATACTGTAGTTTTTGTTTCGGCATGCACACGAGATTTTCACCAAAACTGTAGGGTGCATCATACAAATCAACATCTTGGGCCAAAATGTCTTTGCAAAGTGTATTCTTGTTCAAATTCGATTGCGATGATACCTCTTATACAAAAATTAGTTATTATTACCAGTATCTTTTATGAATATTTTATCCCAAGTAGGCTAACTTTGCCACTATGATCAGTTTCATGCATTTGCTTCATGGTCACTAAAACACTTAAACCGTCATCTAATAGTCCACGAAACCTTGTTTTACTCGTTCAAAAAGGCGGAAGACTGAGCCGTTAAAAGTGAAGGGCGCTAATTTTCAAGGATTGTCCATGTTTATCTTTTCCCGTCCTGTCCTGTATATAAGTGGCAGACTAAGTCTGTTGTTAATCGACAACTGTACGAGTGGTAGAATAAAAATGTTATTCTTTTCATCATATAAATAGTGCTAGTAGTGTTGAGTTTGGTTGCAACTAAATAAGAGAGAGTGAGTAAGAATAATTTCAATACTCCTAAAAGTTTAACATTCCCGAGGTTGATCCTGCTATGCGCTTACACCCACCACTTTCGTGCCACGCAAGTTTTGAAAATAATAACTCACCCGGAGTTTCAATCACGCATGCATTCCTCTTTCTTGCAATCAATTCTGTAATGACAAACTCTGCCACAACCAGCTGTATGAACTAACTGAAAAACACAACGAATTTCTCCTAAGCAAAATAATGTTTTGTTTTTGCTACTGTGTTTACAGTAGACCGTGTTGAATGGTTTTGTAAGATGTTTAGCAGAACGAATAAAAATAAGCAGCATATTTTTCAGGTGCTTGTGAAGGGTGAATGGGTGACAGAGAATTTTTAAAAACGTCGGTATATTTTGTGAAGGAGATAGGGCACTGTATGTTACTATTGTGCATGCGCACCACGCATGCTAACATAAAATAAATAGTGCAATAAACATGCATGCCTATACATTGTGTTGAATGTATACAGCCTTTGTGTAAAAATGAAATGGTGGTGTGGGCTTAGACCTTATATGTGTACTTGAGGTGAAGTGTCAATTTGACAGTTAACCAAAAGCAAAAGCAGTAGGGGCTTGTTTGATATTATATTGAATTGGGGGGAAAAGGGATCACGAAGTTTCACATGTCAATGTAAATTAATTTTTTTGCCAGTAATATGTCGAGCGGTCTCAACCTAGCTGGCTAAATATATTCGATGGATATAGATATAGAAATAAATCTATATATATAGGTAGATGGATAGATAGATAAACAGATTATACACTGTAAAAACTGATTGGTTGAAATAACCAATTCAAATTGGTTGTCTTAGATGTATTTCTTTTTGACCAATTTTATTTGGTCAAAACAACCAAAATATTGGTTGTTTTATAAAATTTAACCATTTTTTTGAGTTGTTTTAACCAATTTGTTAGCCGTTCTAACAATAAAAATTGGTTAAATTAATGCATTTGAAACAACCAATTTAAATTGGACATGATAGATAAATTGATAAATTTTGAACTGTCAGCCGAATAAAATTACATAAATATAGTAAAACTAAAGCACACTAAAACACACACTGATAAAAGTTCCCGCAATGTCGCCTTGTCATGACACGTACTGCATGAGTTACTTGTCAACACCAGCAGACGGATGCAGTTTCATTCAACTCTTAAAGTCAATGTCAATAACATGCAGTTCAGCAGTTGTAAAGATTAGCACAACTATAGACTCAGCTTAAAAACTCTAGATGTTTGTTGGCGTATTTGTACTCTTTGTCCTATTCAACTACAACGCACTGCAAGACACCGCATAGAACTCTTTCGACATGCGAGTAAACCGGGGGGAGGTTATGTAGTGACAGAAATGAATACAAGTATGCATGGCATGTTCAATACCGAATGTTGTACACATATAGGCAACACGAATTTCCACCATAATAGGATTTCTTATTGTCTATAGACCTTGCACGACGAACCATGCGCGCAGCTTCCCTGCGAGTATATACTCTATTTTACTAATGGCAGTACGGCGCGGCAATTTCCAAGTTTAAAACTGTTTTTCGCGGAATGAATGTCGGATGAGGATACATATACATAATGTATCGGAAGAAGAAAATCGAACTAGAAACTCCCAACAAAAGTTGCAAGTGTGAATAGGGGCCTTAGTTGGGCCTCGTTCGTAGTCGTAATAGTAATTCGGTTGGTAGTCAAATCTAAAGGTTGGATGAGCAGGCCCATTATATACGCTATGAAATTTGTCGAGCTTGCAGACAATATGACGGATTTCGTAGCACAAAGTAGTTAGAAAACATAGATAGGAAAATTCAACATCAATATAAATATAGTTCTGTCACAATGCACAGTCAAAATACAATTTATTAAATCACCATGAGAAAAGATACAAAACCACACTCACTACACGATCTGAATTGAAATTTGACTTTTATTTAAAATGTGGTGTAATCAAGACTTCGTATTAAAAATTTAGCAGTGAAATTTGCAATGTTTCATTAATTAACAATTATTTCTCATATAGGAAGGTGCATACTTATACAGAAGTATATTCTAATGTAAGTGCAAGACGTCGCACTGCATGATGGTATATAAATTATAAAGGTGACCTAGCGAGCGAAAGGGGCCGAAGTACAGGAAAGTGAAAAATTAGGAAATTAGACATTCTCTGACTCATTTCTCCCATTTGGTAAATTAAAACTAAAACCAATTTAGATGGCTGTGGCCCAATTACATCTTCAAGAGCAATTTCAAAGGTCCTTCAGTCATGGTGTAGATACATTTTTAAAGTTTAAACCAATCTCTAAAGCAATATGTGCAATTAAGTGGTGCAGGATAAATTCAATAATAGATTGTTCAAACTAATAATTACTTCACTGCGTTCTGGATAGGCCTAACCACGAGTGCGACGTCGTCGTCGTCGTCGTCGTCGGAAACGTCGGAAACGCCGGAAACGTCGAAAACGCCGGGTTCGTCGGGCACGTCGGATACGTCGTCGTCTGGGAACTACAATTCGGCGGGGTGTTGGAGTAGTAGCTGGGCGCGTGGTAGCAAGTGTAGTTGCACGGGTTGTAGTTGCACGGGTTGTAGTTGCGCGGGTTGTTGCACGAGTTGTCGTTGCGCGGGCAGTTGTACGTCGAGCTGTTGTTGCGCCGGCAGTACGTCGGGCAGCAGCAACAGCACTAGTGCGACGTCTGGTGCTTGCGTTGGACCTGCCTGACACTCTGATCGATCCTTTTTGGTTACGGTTACTGAAGTTATTGTTCCTTGTGCACATGTACTTATATGATCCAGGGGCAAATGATAACGCAACCGAGTACGAAGCAGGAGAGTTGTTGAGTTGATCTTGAAAAGTCAGCCTCCGGTTTTCAGATACACCTAATATAAAGAAAATACAATCTTCAAAGCTGGGCACCAATACAACTGGGAACTTTTTTTGATGATTAATTACCAGCGAAGAACCTTCGTAGTTGGTTACTAACTTCCAGACGAAGGACGTTTCCTTGAAACGTCGAAGTTCTTTTATATTCTTAAACAGTATCATCCACAAAAGTCCGCACAACACAACACAATACAACACGACACAACACAACACGACACGACCTAATACAGCACGACATGACCCAACACAACACGACACGACCCAACACGACACAACACAATAGATACGGTAACTGAAAAGGTGGTATAACTAATTCTAAATTAATATTTCCTTACCTAGCCTTCCTCGTTTTCCCCCGGAGAAATCAAATCCTGAAGTCGCAAGAGCCACTCTCACGTCTTCCATTGATTTTATTTTGTTGTCGGGCGTATATATCAGCTTTGTATCTTCGCTAATCATTTTGCCATCATTTTTAATCTTTACGTTGATTCCTGAGTCGTCGATTTCTACCATGTTATTTTTGTCAGTACCTGATCAAAAATTTATTTTTTGTTATTGTTGCTGCTCTTAATTTTGTAGTCGTCGTTGTTTGTGGTCGTTGTGTAGTTTATTGGTGTTGTTAACATACCTCTTGCTCCTTCTCCATCATTATTACCAGGATTTCGAGTGGAACCTATCGAAACATGTGAAGTTAGTATCGTCATAATTGAAGTCATTGTATGTAAGAGATTATAAAATTTGTGAGAAATTAAGATAACAGTTAAAGTGGTGAGGAGATATCGAGAAACCATCAACACCTTATTATCACCAACCAGAGAAGCATGTTCGATAAAATTAATAATATCACCAACCCTTTGTATAAAGGCCTTGACTACTTTTAATTTCCCATTTTGTAGTTGAAATAGTAGTTAAAGTAGTTACAGTAGTAGTTAAAGTAGTTACAGTAGTAGTTAAATAAACCAAGTACCGGTCAACGGTAGATAAAGGCAGGACGACACGGAGCACAACACGATGGAAAAGTTAGTTTGATTTATCCCAACCCACCCTGAGAACACCTTATGTTGGAGAACATAAGGTGTTCTTACTACCACTACCGCTACCGTTGCCATTAACCAATCAGACGCTTTTAATCTACCCAATTAACCAATCAGATGCGTATTAAGGTGGCGGTAGTGGACGACAAATCTGAACCTCTCTAGTTTTATGAGTCCGCAGATTTTTACCTGTCCATTGGATATGAACAACATCATTACTCGTACATGATAAGTCTTTCGGCACGAAGTCGTACTCAACAGCCGGATAAACTTGAACAATGTTTCCTCGTTTACCACGGACGTTAAGATTATATACTGCAACATCATCCGCAATATCGTTGCCATTGCTTTGCCGTGGCATGAGAACCATCACATGGCTCCGGTCTTGAAAAGTTCTTCCAAATTGAGCTGTGTTTACAGCCAATTGCAATTCGAAGTTATATCTCCCTGACTCTGTTTGAAATTTTACTTCTGGGTCATTCTTCACAGGTGAACTTTGGAATTTAAAACAAAAACATGCTGGAATAATTTGATCTTCTATTTCATCTTTATTTACTTCATAAGCTTATCCAAGTATCATCACGTTAATTAAATTACATGACATTGCATACTATAACTTAACATTCAATAGTTACAAATAACCTTGGGGATAATAATATTCGAACTTTATTAACCAAGAAAAAATATTGTTGATTATGTATGGTTTGAGTGATAAAACAATGAATTGCTGGAAACAATAATAAAAAGTACAGTCACGTATGCGTGAAATTCCATACTTACTTGTTGCCATTTTTATCACTGAAGGTGCTATTCCCATCATAATCATACGTGGAAATATTATATCTTATCCTAACCGCACATCGTTTTTCTACTTGAGACGGGAAATAAGGAATTATCCAGGTGTAGTTCATGGCCTGGGCATCTTTAACATTCCCGAGGTGATTAGGACGAGATACAGGTGAAAGGCGGCAATCGAGTTTAGGAGCTTGTACTAAGCAGAACTCTTGGGGTTTGTTGGTGGCTTTATCAATCGCCAGGGCATCAACATATTCAGACCTGTACGGAATGCCCCAGACAAGTGGAACATCGTTCGTGGATGCGCGTTCACAGCTAGCCTTATCTTTGTATTCTCCTTTAAAATCAATGAAGCTATGGAACAGTGTCCAGACGCCGCCCCTTTGCTTACACTCGGTTGGGTTGTTGTATTGCGAGTAATGTTTGAAGCCATCATTGCCTGGGTAGCGCTCCAAGCATTCACCTAAACAAAAAGGCATTGATCTTAAAATGCATCTCAAAATGCAAGTGATTTCTTGTCAACTTGCAAGTTATATTCAACTTCATTGAAAGTTCATACGCTACCTTTTGGATGTCTGTTGAAGCTAAAATATTCATAAAAAGCACAATGTGCCTTGTTGGTGACATACACCGCCATGTCCTTCCAATCAGTGGGGTGCCAGTAAGGGTAGTAGTCACGTTCTTCAGCGCATTCATAACCATGTCGGTTGCCATTCGGATTTTGTCTCGTACTAGTACTTCCTATATTATCTTTCATGTTCTGATCAGCAGTAAACAAACCTACACGTGAAAAGACAAAAACTCAGACGGTCGTCCTTAAAAAATCCTTAACGTTTTTTTTTATTTTATTTTTTTGGCCTTTCCATCTTCCTGAACCTTTCCTAGCCTCGCTTTAATAGTCTTCCCTAATCTTCCCTTTCCTAACATTCATTTCTCTTTTCTGGCCTTCCTTAGCCTTTTCCTAGCCCTATTTAATATTTCTTATCCTATCCCAGCGTCCTTGACCTTCTTTAGTCTTTCAGTCCTACTTTTGTTGCCTTTTCTCGTTTTCTTTAAAGTTTTCTAACGTTCCTTAGCCATCCCAAAGCTGCCGCGTCCTTTCGTTGACTTTCGTTAGCTTTCCTTCCTTTTCTTAATCTGATGCTCTATACTTGTCAGTCCTTTTTAGGCTTGCTTAACCTTTATTAGCTTTCCTTTATTAACATACCTTTATTTCGTTGTCGCTTTCTGCATTTGTCATGCCATTCCCAAGGTTCATGCATACCACGATCGAGTCTTGCTTGTCTAGCTTTTTGGTCATTCTTTTGACGCTTACTGTTAATATTGACTGCTCTATAACCTATTGTAGCCTCGGTTCTCCCTAAACGTTATAACAAAGAAATCATAGATATCAACATTTATTCGCAGTATATTTGGCATTCGTAAGCGGATACCAAAAAGACGTTTTCATCTGACACACTGCATTTATTTTCACAGGTGGCAGAAGTGATTAGAGCACTACCCCTCTAAAAGCTACTCCAGTCCTGCTGTAGGTAGGTAGGCGATTTGCTTAGGTTGGAGAACTTCTCTATATTTAAAGTTATTAGGTTGGAGAACTTCTCTATATCTAAATTCAATGTTGAAAGCTTATACGATTACGCGAAAATCATAGGAAAAACCAAGAAGTCGTTCTTCTGTCTCTATTTGTGCCTCATGCCTTATTTGTGAAGCCCGTGTATCATAAGCCTTTGATTTGGCTCATCAGCGACTTTACTGTTTATTGCACTTTTGCCCCAATGACCTCGTTTCTGTGTTTGCGTGTTGTAGCATGGCAGGTGCGCATGAAGGTTTGATGCATGGGGAAGTAACATGAAAACGAGGCGCCATTGAAGCTTGGCAAGCATACCTTGAGTAATAGATTTAATAACTCATTATCATCATTACCAATCACTTCCAAACATACCATTTCTAATCGTATCGATATCTTTATTACGGCGCGTATCATCCAAAGATTCATAGCGATTATCCTGACACATATACTGTAGTACGATATTACAGTCAAGATCTCCATGACCACAGCCGTGCTGGTTTGTCCATTCGATCGTGAGGTGTGACTGTCCACCTGATGACCTATACTTACTGCCGCTCATAAAGTATTTCTGCAAGAAAAGACATGCACTAAAATTAAACGTGTGGTGTAATTGCAGAAGGGGAAACCAAAAGGATGAATTGTTAGATCATCGAAAATAGTTCTTTTTGGTACACACTACATGTATACCAACATACCATTGCATATTGGAGATCTTGGCTGCCACCTCCATTTCTATAAGGGAGTTCTCCGACGTTGTAACCACCTTTTGCATTGTTCTGAATAACATAATGTAAGTTGTGAATATTTTTTTAATTGGCCACTATTTGATCACTATTAAATAATAATCATAAACAGCATCAAAACGCGCCCCAAAAGAGTCGCTCTTGGGTAAAATGCGACTCCAAAATGACTCTTTTGGCTAGTTTTGACTCTTTTGGGGTAGTTTTGACTCTTTTGTGGGTAACGATTTGACCCTATTGCATTTACGTCTAGCTAAATCAATAGGATCGAGGCTGTTTTTAGAAAGGACACTAGTGCCACAGTTTTTAAACTGTATAGTCACCAAGTTTTGTGTATTTACTAATATTGACCAGCTCTTTTCATTCCTGGTATTTATTGAGTGCTATTGACATCAAATTAAAATGTACTCAAAAGTTAAAACGTCTATGTCAAGTATATTGACATGACTTGAATTTTTGGGACTTTTAACGCGGACGTCGGATTTGTGAAAGTGTACGAGTAACTTGCCCCTCAAATAAACATAGAATAAAATAAAATAAAAATAAGGATAGAAATCCATATCACATGCAGAGAGCTTGGACTTTATACTAAATGGCACTATACTTATAGTTGTGAAATCCATGTATTCACTTACCTGTGAGTCAAACAAACGATTCGCATTCTGCCTGTTTTGGCCATTAGCATTTAATCTGTCGTTGGAGCCTCTTGGATTGTGCATGTACACATCACCGAGTACATAATGTAAACAAACAAGGAGAAACGTCGAACGTAAACCAAGCGACAGCAGACAGCTGTACGCCATATTGTAACCAACCAAATGTTTCCAACAATGTTGGGACAACCGTTGTTGGTATACTCACAAAAATAGGAGGGCAGCTCATTGTGTATGCAACCCACATAATTACGTTGGTGTATAATACAAAAGCACTGTTGGTCGGGCCGGCCTCAAACTGTGTCCCCGAATGTGCATGCTAAACAAAGTAGAACCAAAGTACATTTCATATAGTGTAGGATTGGAATTTCAATATCGGTATTCGAAACATATTGAGGTATAACGTTACCAACTTAAATTTTGCCAAAAGATGGGTTCGTTTCAGATGATCATCAACCTCACAAACTGGTTGACAGTTACAGGAGCAAGCTTTGGAAAATGGAACTTTTAGATACACATCTCTCAATTAAAACACACCTATATATGTGAAATATGGCAAATTCAGGCCTAGTTGGAACCATTAACCCAAAAACTCAATGAAAAATACATAAGGTCCAATTACCAGCAGTTCGTTTCGTAAACAAATAATTTAAAACATATGGTCAACAAATTTTGGCTAAAGTAACGATGATTAAAAATTCGAAAGCTAAAATCTATTCTCTACCTCCTATGTCCTAGAGTTTGGCTACCCACACATGATTTTTAAGATACCCCACGCACCAGGGGGGAGGTTATGTAGTGTCAGAAATGCATACAGGTATGCATGACATGTTCAATACCGAATGTTGTACACATAGGCAACACGAATTTCCACCATATAATAGGAATTCTTATTGGCTAGACCTTGTGGGATGAACCATGCACGCAGCTTCCCTGCGTATATACTCTATTTTACTAATGGCGGTAGCGCGGCAATTTCCAAGTCAGTGAAAACTATTTTTCGCAGAATGAATGTTCCGATGAGGATACATATATTTAGGGAGCGGTCATTAAGTATGTGTAATGGGGTGGAAGCTATTTTATAAAATTCGAAAAATGGTTCATGCCCCACCCATCCTTCCTTAAATAATCGAAAAATAATTTCATGCCCCTCCTGGAACTTTTAATACAAATAAAAATTGATTTTACAAATACCAATCTGTTGAAAAGAAGAACATCATCTGTAGAGCAAGGAACAGAAGCAAAACGACAGAAAAGGTCAGCTAAAACAAATGAAAGGAAATCAGCAAAACAGACAAGGGACAGGTTTCAGAGAAAGATGAAAGAAGTGATGAAGTTGCTCAGTAAAGGCAAGTTCACAAAAGACATGAAGAAAGAAGGCAATACAACTTGTCTGCAGGATATCAACAAGACCTGCCAGATGGTAGCCAGATATCCATTCCAAGGCAATGTGTTTTGGCTTATAAATGAAAACTACTTTGCTAAAGATACCCTAAGTTTTGCCAATAGCTTGGTTGAACAAATGAAATAGCAGCTTCAGAGAACCAAGGATAATAATGAAATGAGAAAAAAGGCGGCCTCTGCAAGAGGAAAGCCTAGTACTGTAGCTCTAATTGTGTTTACAACTTTTTCTGAACTTGACATATCACATATTAACATTTATTTTTTCTTCTGTTTTGGGAAAGCATTCACTTTTGTAACAATTTATTCTGGCCAATGCCAGGTACCCTATTCGGGAGAATGGCCGAGTACAACTATATTGAAGATGCACACTTGCCTCTTTAATGCTTTATAAACTCTATAGATGTATTTTTGTTTCAAGCCCCTTTGCTTTTTATAAAATTGGGCTCAAGCCCCTCCTAGGAAGAAAGATTTTGCTTCTTGACCTCCCCCCCCACCCAAATAGCCTCCACCTCCCCCCCCCATTACACATACTTAATGCCCGCTCCCTTAAAATACTCATTAATAATTCATACACCATGTGGCAAATCATGTCAGCCATAATATGTCACGTGGAGTGACTTTATATGTGATAAAGCATGTGGCATTATATAATTGTTCATCCTAATTAGTATGATTATATAATGGTTCATCCTAATTTCTGGTAAAACATTCCTACTCGTGTTTTAAATAGTACATAATGTATCAGAAGAAGAAAATCGAACTAGAAACTCACAACAAAAGTTGGAAGTGTGAACGGGCCTCAGTTGGGACTTGGGCCTCGTTTGTAGTCGTAACAATGAGTTGGCTGGAAGTCAAATCTAAAGGCTATAGCATCGGCACGTTATACGCTTTGAAATTTGTCGAGTTTGCAGACAACATGACAGATTTCGTAGCACAAAGTAGTTGGAAAATATAGGCAGGAAAATTCAACATCAATATACATAGTTCTGTGACAATGTACAGTCAAAATACAGTTGATTAAATCACCACGAGAAAAGATCTAAAACCACACTCACTACACGATTTGATTTGAAATAACTTTTATTTAAAATGTGATATATAATCAAGACTTTGTATCAAAATTTTGGCAGTGAAGTTTGCAATGTTTCATTAATTAACAATTATTTCTCGTATAGGAAGGTGCATACTTATACAAAAATATATTCTAATGTAAGTGCAAGACGTCGCACTGCATGATGGTATATAAATTATAAAGGTGATCTAGCAAGCGAATGTGGAGTATAGAAAAGTGAAAACTTACGAAATTAGACATTTTCTGACTCATTTCTCCCATTTGGTAAATTCAAATTAAAACCAATTTAGATGGCCGTGGCCCAATTACATCTTCAAGAGCAATATTTCAAAGGTCCTTCAGTCATGGTAAATACATTTTTAAAGTTTAAACCAATCTCTAAAGCAATATGGGGGCTATTCGCTTGCTAGGTCATTGGTAATGTGCAATTAAGTGGTGCAGGATAAATTCAGTAACATGCAGATTGTTCAAAATAATCATTACTTCACTGCGGTCTGGTGCTTGCAGATACTCTGATCGATCCTTTTTGGTTACGGTTACTGAAGTTATTGTTCCTTGTGCACATGTACTTATACGATCCAGGGGCAAATGATAACGCAACCGAATACGAAGCAGGAGAGTTGTTGAGTTGATCTTGAAAAGTCAGCCTCCGGTTTTCAGATACACCTAATATAAAGAAAATACAATCTTCAAAGCTGGGCACCAATACAACTGGGAACTTTTTTTGATGATTAATTACCAGCGAAGAACCTTCGTAGTTGGTTACTAACTTCCAGACGAAGGACGTTTCCTTGAAACGTCGAAGTTCTTTTATATTCTTAAACAGTATCATCCACAAAAGTCCGCACAACACAACACAATACAACACGACACAACACAACACAACACAACACGACACGACACGACCCAACACGACACAACACAATAGATACGGTAAATGAAAAGGTGGTATGATTAATTCTAAATTAATATTTCCTTACCTAGCCTTCCTCGTTTCGCCCCGGAGAAATCAAATCCTGAAGTCGCAAGAGCCACTCTCACGTCTTCCATTGATTTTATTTTGTTGTCGGGCGTATATATCAGCTTTGTACCTTCGCTAATCATTTTTCCATCATTTTTAATCTTTACGTTGATTCCTGAGTCGTCGATTTCTACCATGTTACTTTTGTCAGTACCTGATCAAAAATTAATTTTTTGTTATTGTTGTTGCTTTTAATTTTGTCTTCGTCGTTGTTTGTGGTCGTTGTGTATTTTATTGGTGTTGTTAACATACCTCTTGCTCCTTCTCCATCATTATTACCAGGATTTCGAGTGGAACCTATAGAAACATGTGAAGTTAGTATCGTCATAATTGAAGTCATTGTATGTAAGAGATTATAAAATTTGTGAGAAATTAAGATAACAGTTAAAGTGGTGAGGAGATATCGAGAAACCATCAACACCTTATATTATCACCAACCAGAGAGGCATGTTCGATAATATTAATAATATCACCGACCCTTTGTATAAAGGCCTTGACTACTTTTAATTTCCCATTTTGTAGTTGAAATAGTAGTTAAAGTAGTTACAGTAGTTAAAGTAGTTACAGTAGTAGTAGTAGAGGTAGGACGACACAGAGCACAACACGATGGAAAGGTTAGTTTGATTTATCCCAACCCACCCTGAGAACACCTTATGTTGGAGAAACCGGAAAAGACCCCAAGACATTTTCACATAATTCGAGAGGTTTAGATTTTGACTTCCACTACCGCTACCGTTGCCATTAACCAATCAGATGCTTTTAATCTACCCAATTAACCAATCAGATGCGTATTAAGGTGGCGGTAGTGGACGGCAAATCTGAACCTCTCTAGTTTTATGAGTCCGCAGATTTTTACCTGTCCATTGGATATGAACAACATCATTACTCGTACATGATAAGTCTTTCGGCACGAAGTCGTACTCAACAGCCGGATAAACTTGAACAATGTTTCCTCGTTTACCACGGACGTTAAGATTATATACTGCAACATCATCCGCAATATCGTTGCCATTGCTTTGCCGTGGCATGAGAACCATCACATGGCTCCGGTCTTGAAAAGTTCTTCCAAATTGAGCTGTGTTTACAGCCAATTGCAATTCGAAGTTATCTCTCCCTGACTCTGTTTGAAATTTTACTTCTGGGTCATTCTTCACAGGTGAACTTTAGAATTTAAAACAAAAACATGCTAGTTTATTTCATGTTACTGGAATAATTTAATCTTCTATTTCATCTTTATTTACTTTATAAGCTTATCCTTTATAGCGCGTTAATTAAATTAGATGGCCTTGCATACTGTTACAAATTGGGATAATAATATTCGAACTTTATTAACCATTGTCGATTATGTATGGTTTGAGTGATAAAATAATGAATTGTTGGAAACAATAGTAAAAAGTATAATCATGCATGCATGAAATTCCATACTTACTTGTTGCCATTTTTATCACTGAAGGTGCTATTCCCATCATAATCATACGTGGAAATATTATATCTTATCCTAACCGCACATCGTTTTTCTACTTGAGACGGGAAATAAGGAATTATCCAGGTGTAGTTCATGGCCTGGGCATCTTTAACATTCCCGAGGTGATTAGGACGAGATACAGGTGAAAGGCGGCAATCGAGTTTAGGAGCTTGTACTAAGCAGAACTCTTGGGGTTTGTTGGTGGCTTTATCAATCGCCAGGGCATCAACATATTCAGACCTGTACGGAATGCCCCAGACAAGTGGAACATCGTTCGTGGATGCGCTTTCACAGCTAGCCTTATCTTTGTATTCTCCTTTAAAATCAATGAAGCTATGGAACAGTGTCCAGACGCCGCCCCTTTGCTTACACTCGGTTGGGTTGTTGTATTGCGAGTAATGTTTGAAGCCATCATTGCCTGGGTACCGCTCCAAGCATTCACCTAAACAAAAAGGCATTGATCTTAAAATGCATCTCAAAATGCAAGTGATTTCTTGTCAACTTGCAAGTTATATTCAACTTCATTGAAAGGTCATACGCTACCTTTTGGATGTCTGTTAAAGCTAAAATATTCATAAAAAGCACAATGTGCCTTGTTGGTGACATACACCGCCATGTCCTTCCAATCAGTGGGGTGCCAGTAAGGGTAGTAGTCACGTTCTTCAGCGCATTCATAACCATGTCGGTTGCCATTCGGATTTTGTCTCGTACTAGTACTTCCTATATTATCTTTCATGTTCTGATCAGCAGTAAACAAACCTACACGTGAAAAGACAAAAACTCAGACGGTCGTCCTTAAAAAATCCTTAACGTTTTTTTTATTTTATTTTTTTGGCCTTTCCATCTTCCTGAACCTTTCCTAGCCTCGCTTTAATAGTCTTCCCTAATCTTCCCTTTCCTAACATTCATTTCTCTTTTCTGGCCTTCCTTAGCCTTTTCCTAGCCCTATTTAATATTTCTTATCCTATCCCAGCGTCCTTGACCTTCTTTAGTCTTTCAGTCCTACTTTTGTTGCCTTTTCTCGTTTTCTTTAAAGTTTTCTAACGTTCCTTAGCCATCCCAAAGCTGCCGCGTCCTTTCGTTGACTTTCGTTAGCTTTCCTTCCTTTTCTTAATCTGATGCTCTATACTTGTCAGTCCTTTTTAGGCTTGCTTAACCTTTATTAGCTTTCCTTTATTAACATACCTTTATTTCGTTGTCGCTTTCTGCATTTGTCATGCCATTCCCAAGGTTCATGCATACCACGATCAAGTCTTGCTTGTCTAGCTTTTTGGTCATTCTTTTGACGCTTACTGTTAATATTGACTGCTCTATAACCTATTGTAGCCTCGGTTCTCCCTAAACGTTATAACAAAGAAATCATAGATATCAACATTTATTCGCAGTATATTTGGCATTCGTAAGCGGATACCAAAAAGACGTTTTCATCTGACACACTGCATTTATTTTCACAGGTGGCAGAAGTGATTAGAGCACTACCCCTCTAAAAGCTACTCCAGTCCTGCTGTAGGTAGGTAGGCGATTTGCTTAGGTTGGAGAACTTCTCTATATTTAAAGTTATTAGGTTGGAGAACTTCTCTATATCTAAATTCAATGTTGAAAGCTTATACGATTACGCGAAAATTATAGGAAAAACCAAGAAGTCGTTCTTCTGTCTCTATTTGTGCCTCATGCCTTATTTGTGAAGCCCGTGTATCATAAGCCTTTGATTTGGCTCATCAGCGACTTTACTGTTTATTGCACTTTTGCCCCAATGACCTCGTTTCTGTGTTTGCGTGTTGTAGCATGGCAGGTGCGCATGAAGGTTTGATGCATGGGGAAGTAACATGAAAACGAGGCGCCATTGAAGCTTGGCAAGCATACCTTGAGTAATAGATTTAATAACTCATTATCATCATTACCAATCACTTCCAAACATACCATTTCTAATCGTATCGATATCTTTATTACGGCGCGTATCATCCAAAGATTCATAGCGATTATCCTGACACATATACTGTAGTACGATATTACAGTCAAGATCTCCATGACCACAGCCGTGCTGGTTTGTCCATTCGATCGTGAGGTGTGACTGCCCACCTGATGACCTATACTTACTGCCGCTCATAAAGTATTTCTGCAAGAAAAGACATGCACTAAAATTAAACGAGTGGTGTAATTGCAGAAGGGGAAACCAAAAGGATGAATTGTTAGATCATCGAAAATAGTTCTTTTTGGTACACACTACATGTATACCAACATACCATTGCATATTGGAGATCTTGGCTGCCACCTCCATTTCTATAAGGGAGTTCTCCGACGTTGTAACCACCTTTTGCATTGTTCTGAATAACATAATGTAAGTTGTGAATATTTTTTTAATTGGCCACTATTTGATCACTATTAAATAATAATCATAAACAGCATCAAAACGCGCCCCAAAAGAGTCGCTCTTGGGTAAAATGCGACTCCAAAATGACTCTTTTGGCTAGTTTTGACTCTTTTGGGGTAGTTTTGACTCTTTTGTGGGTAACGATTTGACCCTATTGCATTTACGTCTAGCTAAATCAATAGGATCGAGGCTGTTTTTAGAAAGGACACTAGTGCCACAGTTTTTAAACTGTATAGTCACCAAGTTTTGTGTATTTACTAATATTGACCAGCTCTTTTCATTCCTGGTATTTATTGAGTGCTATTGACATCAAATTAAAATGTACTCAAAAGTTAAAACGTCTATGTCAAGTATATTGACATGACTTGAATTTTTGGGACTTTTAACGCGGACGTCGGATTTGTGAAAGTGTACGAGTAACTTGCCCCTCAAATAAACATAGAATAAAATAAAATAAAAATAAGGATAGAAATCCATATCACATGCAGAGAGCTTGGACTTTATACTAAATGGCACTATACTTATAGTTGTGAAATCCATGTATTCACTTACCTGTGAGTCAAACAAACGATTCGCATTCTGCCTGTTTTGGCCATTAGCATTTAATCTGTCGTTGGAGCCTCTTGGATTGTGCATGTACACATCACCGAGTACATAATGTAAACAAACAAGGAGAAACGTCGAACGTAAACCAAGCGACAGCAGACAGCTGTACGCCATATTGTAACCAACCAAATGTTTCCAACAATGTTGGGACAACCGTTGTTGGTATACTCACAAAAATAGGAGGGCAGCTCATTGTGTATGCAACCCACATAATTACGTTGGTGTATATACAAAAGCACTGTTGGTCGGGCCGGCCTCAAGCTGTGTCCCCGAATGTGCATGCTAAACAAAGTAGAACCAAAGTACATTTCATATAGTGTAGGATTGGAATTTCAATATCGGTATTCGAAACATATTGAGGTATAACGTTATACCAACTTAAATGTTGCCAAAAGGTGCATGGGTTTCATATGGTGGTCAACCTCAAACTGGTTGACAGTTACAGGAGCAAGCTTTAGAAAATGGAACTTTTAGAAAAACTACACATCTCTCAAATAAAACCCACCTATATATGTGAAATATGGCAAATGAAGGCCCAGTTGGAACCCATTTAGACCATTAACCCAAAAATTTGATGAAAAAATTACCAGCAGTTCATTTCATAAACAGATCATTTAAAACATATGGTCAACAAATTTTGGCTAAGTAACCTTGTTTAAAATTTCGAAAGCTAAAATCTATTCTGTACCTCGGTCCTGTGTTTTAGAGTTTTTGGCTACCCCATCTGAAACACATGGTTTTTAAGCTACCCCATGATTATTAAGCATGCAAGTTTCCAGGTCTTTCGCTAACGCAGAGATTCCTGAGCAAGCTCCCGTAATGAAGACGTAAGGAAATCCATCAGAGGTAATGGGACACAGTGAGGAACAAATAGACATAAGTCGCATAACCCTTGAGACCTTTCCTCACAGTATTGTAAAGTTAAAGCACATTAGTGACAAAACAAATTTCAGCACCCTTTTCCCACAGTTCAATGTTGTGAATAGCGCCGAAACAACTTTTTCTAATTTACCACGACTCAAGTTCAACATTGAGTTGGGGGAGTGGAGGCTTAAGAAGAGCAACACAATTTTACAATAAATTTATCATTTTTTGTACAAAGGGATTGGAAAGGTATATAGTCTCAACCAGTTATGTCCAGTGCAGGTACTGTATACAGTAGTTTGGTTTCAGTTTTATATTGTAGTACACAGGGTGGTAAACTTCACGGCATGTATTGACACTTACTGGATCAAGAAAATGATTTTAACACTTTAGTAGAATGATTAACATTTTAGTCACTCTGATAAATATCCTTTAAGGGTAGTTGGCTATGCATCATCTGCTCCCACAGAAACCACCGGCCCACCTCTATAGAGGGTGGGAAGATTGACAAGGCAGTGCTAACCCACCCCCACACAAATGATTACATGTCATCTTTTATCGTATAATATATATACTGTAAACAATGCGGTTTCTTATACCGGCTTATCTCATTCGGAGTGGGCAAACGACTATAGAAATGATTATACAGGTCCATTTATCAAAAAATGGCATCTCGTTGTTTTAACTCACCATGGGATGTAAATTGAGATTGTACGAGAAAGAACAGCGATAGCATTGTTGATTGCTCCTATGCTCTCGATTACTTAATACCTAAACCAATCACAAAACACAGCAGGATATATAGTCCCCTTGCAATTGATTGTATATACGATATTTCACTATTTCATAACATGTAGGCCAATCAAATATGCTTTTTGCTACTCGTCTATATTTCACTAAGACTCAAATCTTTTTAGTTTGGCATAACTATTTTCTAACATCTTGTAAGACATGATAATTTCCAGATTAAAATTGCAATCTGTATGTCTAAATTGTAAAACATATGTACTGCATGTATGCTCAAAAGTCTCTGGCTCATTCAAGTTTAGCAGATCCGATTTTTGTATGAATTAATTAATTAAAAATATGCTAGCTACGCACTAAATAATCAGCCAATATAAATCTATTCTAAACCCGATGCCCTCTGCCCAATGCCCCAGTTCATGCAGTTTTAAACAAACTATTCTTTCAATATTATAAAATTTTAACATACAAACTTTTAACACAGTGAAATTTAGCTACATGATTTGAGTCTATAGTTGGACAATTTAGTATCGTAAATATACAATAGTAATTGTCAGTAATGACAATCGATCCAAAATTGTTAATTAATGAGATTACTTTACTCTCAGGAGTACAGTATTATATCATTACATATAAGTATCGTAAGGCAAACTGATGCTAACATATAGATTTTAACGGGTCACGGGAGTTAATATTTGCCTACCAATACCCGGCCGGCTATATTTCACCTGGGCACAATTTTCCATGTACGAAATTCATCCCTATACGATAAACAACACATACAGGAATTTCATCCCCGTCTAAACGTTCTGCCATAGATACGGTATATGCCCCACCGGGGATAATCGAAATCCATATCGGATTTTTGCACCCTTCATCTCCTTATAGTCCAGATAGCCCCGACCACATTCTAGGTTTTAAAAGTTTAAATATTGCGTGACACTAGCAGTGAAAAGATGTCAAGGCATTTTCTTCACGTGCATATATAATAAACGATTTAATAATGTCACAATAAATATTTACACTCTTGCCTATTAGAAGATTAACTGAATATTTGTAGATATAAAAATAGCATTCCGAATCGTGAGAGAATTCATTATAAATTATAATACAATACAGGAACTTTATTTAAACACGAATTTAAGAGTAGCTATAAAAATAGCTAATTTCTTCGAGCAAAATTCTAAGAAAATATGGTATACACGTAGCAATACACATAATATAATCAGGGCCTAGCTTTCAGAGGGGGAGGGGGGGGAGGGGGCAATTTGCCCCGGGCCCCCAGTGTAAGGGGGGGGGGGGATTTGCAAAATAAAAAAAAATTTGGAACATTTTTTGATATATATATATAAATAGAGACCTTACGATTTTAGGACGGCAACGCGACCGCCAAAACAAACTCCTTGAAATAAATGGTAGTCGATAGTTCATCATATATTATCAATCGTATGAATTTAATACAGTCTTAGAAGTTGAAGACATGGGTTTTATGGTTGGGAAGAGTTCTGCTAAACCCAGTTTGAACTTTGAAGTTGCACTTGTTGTGGCTTGGAATGCAACCGTTGTATCAACACGTGAAAATCTGTGATTTAGCGTTGCAAACAGAGCGAGGACATTTTTGGGAATAGGGCCCCCAACATAAAAATTCCCCCCCCCCCCCCCAAATTTCTCTGATAGGCCCTGAATATAATATACTAGATTTCTACCATCGCCTATTAAATTATATAAAGTATCAGTATAAAATTATATTTCTTTTCACACAGTATTCCGTGTTTTTGCTGCTTTATAACGAAATGAGTGCAGCCTAGCCCAAACAAAAACTGTAGACAGTATTTTACATCACGTTTCATTTGGTGGGATTTTAATTTCCTTATTGGTAAAAACTCAACGAGTGAAACAACGGAGGATCTAAATTGCAGGTTGTGAGCCGTTCACAAAATACGTGCAGACGCTTTTTGACAATTTTTGGTACCCCTACTTCCTGTGACGCTTATGTGACAGGAAGTCATTACCAACACCTCAAAAATTACGTGACTCTGAGCCAACACCCAACACCCCCGCGAAATAATGAGCAAACGGATTGTTACACTAGTTGTAGGAATTCCGAATTCTAAGCCACTGTGAGGCACACCAAGTTTAATTCATATAAACATTATCTACTTTGTTTTCAGGTATACTGTCACGTGATACTGTGTGTTATACCCCCTCCCTCCTTGTGACAATATATATGACATCCCTCGAAGCGCCACGTTGGTGGTAGCTTTTGCAGCTTGGTGATCAAATTTCGGATTGGTTTAGATGAAGATTCCAAGTTATGGGTCAGGAGGATATGGGCTAGGTTCAAGTTTTATTGTCTGAAAATAAGCATCAATCTGCAACCAGCAGTTCAGACCCTCCGCATGTCAAATATAGGGAGTGAAAATAATCTAATCCATATATTTCTGAAGTATACTTGAAACAAGTTATTTTCACAGGTATTTTCACATGATCCGTCTTCAAACTCATTAACAAGAAATATCTTATAACTACACAATTGACGTCATCAGCCAAGGTGGTGATAGTTTTGTAATAAGGGACGGGTCATTATTTATGGGGGGGGGGGTGGCACCAAAGAGAAATGTTTTTCCTAGCAAAAATTTTGCTGACCCAACCATTAACAAGTCAAAAATTCGATTACCCAACCTCGAATATCAATTAAAAAATAAATACCCACCCCTGGCCAAAACCTTTACAAAAGGATACCATTAAGTTGTCACACATGTCCTTTTTAATACCACTTCTGTGACACGAGTTTGATAACGGATTGTGCAATTTTCTGCAGTCTAAAGTTTCATGTTGTCTGCACATGTACTTTCTTTGGAGACACCATCTGTCTCCCAACAAATCGGAAAATGATCAAGATAGCGACTCTGATTGATTCACATACTGTATTTACATATGACTGTTGACATTGCTTTTCAGTCTCCAATATTTAAGTGAGTCATGCTTTGGAAATGATAATAATTTTTTATTACCCTTGAGATGTTTTGTTTTTTTATTTCCCCAACCTTTTACTTACTCAAAATTTTGTTTACCCAACCCTTTTCTCTTCGGTGCCACCCCCCGCCTTAAATAATGACCGGTCCCTAAATAGTTTTACAAAGCATGATGGTTCATAATAATATACCATGCTTCTAAAGCTTCTGGCAACTTTGGATAACCCTGATGAAGACACTAGACATGAGTAAATATTCGTGAACTGATATTCGCTCCTTCGCCTGTACACTCAAACAAGAGTGGTGCGCTAAAATATCTGATATTATACCTGATTGCCCTGTTCAATGGATTGGGTTGTCCCTGTTTAACAGGTTGAGCTGCTGTGAACTCATAATTCTCAAGACAAATGGCCTTATTTGACAATTATAATTTCAACATGGTTCATGCAATTAGTCTTTCTCACGCCGCCATTTTTGGGGGTGGCTTTTCAACAGAAGTCTGCAAGATAAGTCTACATAACAGCGACTTTTTATAATTTTTTGGACGAATGATGGTAAATTTGCTTTGTAAATGATTAGTTTATTTTGAAAAATTGCTTTTCACATTATTTTAATTGTCTGCATTGCAGGTTAACGAGAATTAGATGACACCCAAAAATGGCGGATATTCGTCATCGTGAAAAAGGCTAATTCGCTTTTACTTCATTTATACCAGATCATTTGATCACCATGACTCCGGTAATAACTAAATGTGGTAAACGATAGAGAGTTACGAATAGTATAAGTCAAAATAAGCTACTGTTTAGTTAGGCCAACAAGCTACTTTCATATTCGTTTGAGCTTTCGTCGTCTGCGGCGTCGTCAGAAACTATGAAGAGTGACCAAATGCTGCTAGAGTGATAGGAGTGGACGAGTGGTTATAGGGTGAGTGCAAGGTATAGGATTGTTGCACAAATGTCTGGTTGTCCTATACCCTGGCTCCAGTCTGGCTCTTAACCCATTGAGTGCCAGCGCTAAATCCCCTTGACGAATAAGATCGTCTGGCGTTACACAGAGTGAAGCAATAAAGTGGGGCGCACTGCAACTTAATGGGTTAAAGAATCACGGCGAGAAGAAAGAAAGGCGAAGCATGCAAAAGAAACACGCCGTTCTTTCGCTTAGCCGTAAGCGGGAACCCGGGTAGTGTTGTTGTTTTTTTCACGTTTTAAAAATCTTCAACAACCTCCAAGTCACTAGCATCCTTTCCTTTCGGACCGTACGACTCCGAGCAGGAATCGTGCTTCCATGTTCGTCTAAGATATCTGCAATCCTGTAGATCATTCCAGGAGCAGGAGTTATTCTCCATGGACATTTTACGTCTTGGCGTTTCCAAATGCGAGGATATTTCTTTCAAAGATTTTGACTTCTGCTTGTGTAGAGGAGTGAGTTGAATTGGTGGCAATAGTTTCCATATAGCTTGCCCACTTGAGGATTCATCATTGTCCACAGAAAGAGATTCCTCATTATTATTCTTATCAGTTTGTAGTGTCGCTGTGTATTTTCTTCGCGTGAAACAATCAAGATTTCCAGAAACACTAAAAGACCGGGACATCTTTTTAAACTGATATATTTTCCCTATTTTAGAGTTCACTGAACTCGGCGCTATTCGGCCATCTTTGCCACTGCCTCCTCCCAAAAAGGAATTAATACTCGAAGTACTTGTACTCAAGGCTCTTGATCTAAATTTCTTGCGCGTGTCATTAATGTCCGCCAGGGGTTGGGAGGTCTCTGGCTTAATGGATAGGTCTAGGGTGTTTTCATCAGGCTTTGAAGACAGTATCGACATTTGCAGGCTTAAAATTTCTCTCTTTTTGTTCGTGAGGTCGAGACTCTCGTGCGCTCGCAAGCGATCCAAAGACTTGTGCTGCTTCTCTAATTTTAATTGCTCGCATTTGTTTCTCACCACGAAAGCGTTTCTAAATTCGCTCGAAAAGCTTTGGCGTCGTACGTCGTTCTTTCGATTCATGACGAAGATTCTGAAGATTATCTCCTGTCAGCAATTTTCCTTTACAGTTTTACCGTAAAGGTTTTTCCTCCGTATTCTGCGGACTATAGTATAGCGTAACTCAAAACCAAAAACGAGGTATCTCTGAAATATATTGATATACTGATGCTCTATTCACCTTACAACAACTGCAGGTGTCTTCTAGACTGTCTCTTGTCAAGTACTTTTCTATTATAGCAAACGAAGGCGAAGATTTTGTCCCGTAAAAGTCACCAGCCTTGCTCGAATCCAAGAACCGTAAAATATCGCAAAGTTCCTCTCAGCAAAGAATACAATAAGAATTGTTGAAACTGTGCTCTATTTCACTCAACAGAACAAGATAATACATATGCCCAATCAAGTCAAAATGCAATTTTATATATGCCACTTGGTCCACTTATGTCTGTCTCACTGGGTCCATTTAAGTCCAGTTCAAGTGTTTACAGTGCAGAAAGGAACTGTTCTGTCAGCCTAAAATGATTTATATACACATGTCAACCCTCCCACAAAACAGCAAGCATTCCATAATTGGAAATGGGTGTGAATTAGAAAAAATGCCGCCTACCACACGTCTATCCACGCGTCCTTTTCTATGAATGATACCGATTAACATTTTATCATGAATAGAGACAATGTTTTTTCTTTCTGATCATGACCTAGGAGATGATTGGCAAACTAAATTTTAGTACCACTTACAAGTGGCACAGCCCCTTCATCAATCAATGACGTAATCAAGCCGACTTTACGTCTCGTTATTAACATGAATATTATAAGTACATAATGTTTCTGTTTCTTTGTAGGGGAACGTTTTCTCGCAACTTCGAACGATAAAATTCAATACTAATTTGAATCAATATCTATGATATGAATCAACATCTAATGATATGCACAATAATGAAATCTGTTTTGTCTGGATCAAAATAGCGTATATTATTTCAGCCTGATAAGGATTTCTGGTTAATGTATAGCTTATATAGACAACGTGTACAACTGATAATTGTCAATAGCAAAAACACTTCAATCATAGTTGTAGGAGCAAATACATGTAATAAACTCAAGTATATACTGTACTGTAGGTAAGAAAGTTGGAAGGATTAATATTTTCAGCCACTTTTGTTCAATTGTTTAAACCTTGTCAAATCATGGTCTAATTAAGAGGATCATTTCTGCTTAATCTAACTTAATCCTTTTTACAATTTATGTGTACAAATACCAAGTTGAAGCGTGAATAGAATTATCACCTATAGTTAAGCCCCGTACAAGCGAGCAGGTTTTCCTTGCATAATAAGTTTCCTTGACCAGTTTAGTATACCTCTTTCTCGTACGGTCAAAGAGTTTCCCTTGACAAGTTTTGTTATTAAGCATTTATCTCGCGTCAAGACCTCCTTATTTGTTTGCTAAAACCATTGCATTCAGAAGTATTTCTTGTCAAGTTTTCCTTGACGGCCGTATACACACACGAACAAATTTTCCTTGTCCAAAAGCTGACATGATTAGATTTGGAACAACTGGCTCCTGGGCCAGGAAATTGTCACTTTTTTGCCGTACGCACACGAGCGAATAAAAATTGTCAATGAAAACGTGCTGGCGTTTGCAAGGGCCAAGGGGCTTAAATTACTGGCAGCCTTTCATGACAAACTTGAATTTTTAGTATATTGTGCACTCTAGCAAATGGAGGTTGAGGGGTTAAAGTTTTTAAGCCATTTGTTCATACCTTATCATGTAACTGTTAAATCAGCACAGTTATAGCATCCGATTAATAAGTTTTCTAATACCATGTAGCATGTACTCCTTTTCTGTTACCACCATGCACAGAATACGAAATTTTTCCCTGAAAACAATTTTCAGTGGTTATAAATTATGAAATATTTTGTTTGTCAAATGTCCATGTACTCCATCAAATGGCATAATCGAAACCTATAATTGCCTACCGTACGTTAGTTAATATATATATAATAGCACCTTAATTTGGTGTTTAACTTCGTAGGATGATAGGCCAATGTTCTTATGTGCATGTATATTGTGTGTTATTAGTCAGTGTTAATTACTGTTACAAACTTAAGGTCTGATCATACCAGTCCAACTTCAAACTGAAGGTAGTTTTCGTTAATACAATAATATATGATATCCCTTTGAGGGACCTTTGACAATACTGACTTTACTGTGTATGTGTGAAAACAGCACACTTCGTATTTCGTACTACTTTGTGGGATAATAAATTACCAACATGCTACACTTCAATGGTGCGACATGCATGCATGGATATCTTAACTTTAAGAATATAAGCCAACTCCAAATTAAACAGAGTTATATATATATATATAAGATATAGCTACCCCTTTCTGTTTTATTATCCTGTCAACCTTGTATTTTGTAATCTTTTTCAACATCCAGTGGCAATGTGTGAATGATGTGAGCCAACCAAACTTTGTGACAGTAATCCCAAAATCCAGCTGAGCTGAGGTTTCGCTCCCTATCAAAACAGCGTAATATGAGCCTGCACATCTGCTCTCGTGATAGACGCCCAAGATATGTTGAACAATGTACACACAGACTTATCACGACAGCTCCTTGTGCCTTATCAGTGAAGATCGCGGGTGAAAGCAATTAACGCGCAAGTTATGTTGTTTGCATATAGGTTTAATTTAACTGTTTCACGCGGACACATACTAAAAACCATAATTAAATTAACTCGCAACCAAATGACTTATATGACTGTACATTATCCAAAAATACAGGTAGAATACAACGTCAATGTATAATAGACTATCTATACATAATAGGTTCTACGACTCGACGTTTTTTTAGATCTTATAGCTCACGTCCTTATCTCAAAACCGTCAACATGTATGCATACATATGTATTTCATAAAATAAATCTGTTCGACCATTTGATCCAAATCAAGTGCTAAAAATTAAGAAAAAAGCATGGCAATTCTGCCTCAAGTGTTTCAAGCTTGATCCAAATTTTCAGCAAATCTTTTTCGCATCATGAATAACAGTAGGCTTTTAAATTATCATTATCGACATGCAAGCTATTTAGAGTAGAAAGGAAAAACAAATAAGAAACCCTAAGTTGTTTATTTTGATCCAAGATCAGATTGCAATCGGAGTTATTTTTGTCGCATAGTGGACACGGAACTGTCGGAACACCTATGGCTGTATGCCTACAGACGACCTAAATAGGAATTCCTAAAAAATGGCATATATATATATATATATATATATATATATATATATATATATTGCCTGCTAGGAAATTCATCACACCCACTAAAGTTTGTCATGTGTCTTGATACTTTTAGTAGATGATGCATGGTAATAAAATTTATTCTGGGAAATAAGTCGAAAAATATGAAACGGTATGATTTTTTACAATGTCCGCCACGATTTCAAGGTATTGTGTCGTGTGCATGCACAGTAAGCACTCAAAAAAATTCTGGAATTACTTTTAAGATAATACATATGTATCTCATTTTTATCAAAATAGATATAGGTTCATCTAATTAAATTCTATTCTCAGTTCCCCCCGTTCAATTATCGCATATCCCGTTTCATTATTGCAGTCTATTCTAGTTTATTCAATTTGATTTTTTCATCACTTTTTTATCAATTCAATTCATGCCTTGATCAATATTTTCTACTCTATGTACTGTACTCGATCTATTGTAATTAACATACTCAGTCTTCTATGATACTTTGCATGGTTCTTTTTCTATATGCACATCCTATTCGGTATTCAATTCGGCTTTGTAATTATATGAAATATCGTCCAATACTTAGTATGTTTTATTGCATTTTATTGTACCTTTTCCTATTGTATTGTATTCTATTATGTTGTATTTTATTTCATCATTTTTTGGCACGATTCCATTGTACTGTGCTATAGAGTGATTTGTACTCTGTATTCAACTGCATGAACTGCTGCACATATGTTTATGTACCCAGACGAAGGGCCTTCGCTCGAAACGTTGAAATTCTCCTTATATTTTTCAAGGGTGGGTTGACTACAAAATTTTTGTAGTTCGCTATAACTACAGCTACTTCAAAAATGTGTAGTCAGCTACAACTACTGCTACTTTTGAACAAAGGTAGTTCGCTACTGACTACAGCTACTGCTTAAAAAATGTAGCGAACTATTTCGCTACTCTATATTTTTTAGTTTTACGGTATTTGGAGCATCCACTAGCTCAGGCTGTAGTATAACCTATAACAAATCGACTTACGAGTAGCAACAGTAAACAAAAAGGGTCAAAGCAACATTTTCGTAAGCACTATACAGTGTTCAGGAGTGCCACTTTTCATTGCGCTAAAATAATCTTTTCTGTATAAAATAATCTTTTAAGCAAACCGTGTCTTAATATCATTTTATTCTATGAACGGTTGCTAACAATTTTAAAAAGTAGCGAATAGCGATTCGCTGTTTGAAAAGTAGTCAACTATTTGGCTACTTTTAGGCAAAATGTAGTTCGCTATAACTACAACTACTGTTTTAAAAAAGTAGTCAAAAACTACTGGCTACTTGAAAATTGTAGTTCGCTACTGTAGCGAACTACAACTACTTCGCTATACTACCCACCCTTGATATTTTTCAGGTAGTTGCATGCATACCAACGAAAGCTTGTCTGTATATATGCATGTATGGTATAATGGTCAAATGTCAAATTACGTCGGTATGTACAAACATCTATCCGGCTCGGAACTTAGTAACAAGCATAGTTTTGTCTTCGTTATTGTGTAAACGTGACTCTCGTAGGCGTTTAGACTTAAACCGGCCATTAAATCAGGCATCACCTAATAGATTTGAAGTTCTTTTTTTTATTTCAATATAGGATATCTTTTAAGGTCATGGTCAACTTTAAACATTTTATTTCTTCTATTTTGCTAAGATAATAGCAAATTTGATTTAAAAAAATTAGCTTGAAGCTGCATGGTTTGTTTGGACCAAAGAACCTTTGTAAACCAGTCCTGATTGCCGTATATAAGTCCGATTTTTACGGTTTCATGTTCAATTTAATACTGTCAATTCATGCGTCTGTCTGGTGACCTTGATTTACGAGGTTACATTTTAGCATATATATCAATAAATCATTAGTTTGGATTAAAATTTGATTGCAGAAAAAAAATGTGTCTGTGGTCAAATTCAACCACCGCTAAAGACTAAAGTGAGCTCAATGAGAACGGAAATTTCATGTACAACAAAAGGGTACAAGCTTACTTGATTTTGATTTTCAGCATGAATACGAACTGTGAAAGTATGGCCTATTGATCCCTTGGTCTTTACGATTTTTAAGCTAGGGGTGGCAGAAACGTTACGGCAGGGATAAGCGACGTTGCTAAAGGGTCAAGTTTTGCTGCGAAGTTTGACCGTTTATTATGCAATAAGGAAAAAATGGTATTCAATTTAAGATTGAAAATTTTCAAGACTTTTATGGAAAAATGCTCTCCGGATATGGCAATTTGTGCCATTAAGAGCATTTTCCCATACGAGCTGAAACTTTGCAGTTTTACTAATATTGAGGTGTTCCTTTTATTTCTGCGATTCATTTAGACACAGCTTCTCGTTTTACGGAAAATGGAATCACGTGACCAATTCATGGAAAGGAAGCTCAGTCCTTGAGTGCCCTATTCCGGTCTTCCTCGAATTTGAACTCGTGAATGTTCAGCACATAAAAATTGGCATAATAAAACGCGCAGTTCGTTTGTTCAGAATTAAGGCTGTATGGCGACCAAAAATAGCGAAATAAAACACGAGGAAATGATAAAAATGAATACTTTTAAATCGAATATCAATACAGAATGTACTCGATCTGATCGTCGATCAAATGAGCTGGAAGTAGCCATTGACAATTCATACGATGGAAAGGCGATCTTTAAAATTCTGTGTGTGGGTGATTATTGTGGACGATGGAGTAAAGGGGTTTATATTCAAGACTACAATTCATCGGATGAAACAATACGCGAAAATCCTAGTAATGGATCGGTAATTGGGGTTGATTTTACCTTAAAAATTTTGTACAACAAGTCCGGCAAAAAAATTCGACTTCAAATATGGAACATAGGCGAGCAGGAGAGATTTGGAAACATGGCTAGAATTTTTTACAGAAACGCACACGGAGTTATTGTGTTTTGGGGTGCGATGAGTCAATCGATGGACAGTGCCTTAAAGTGGAAACACCATGTTTCACAAGCGCTACAGCCAGATGTACCATTTGTTTTGGTTGTCGATAATGTATTCAGGACACCGAAGAAGTGGATTGGTCAAGACTTGGTCATGAATTCTCTGGACGAAATGGACAGTTTTTGTCTCGAGCATGGATTTTTTGCGTGGTTCGACATGCTGGAACGTGCTGCTGGGGGAAAAGTGTTTTCGCACAAGCTATGTCTAAACTCGTGAACAAAATAATTTCCAAGGATGAAGACACTATAACAACATATATCTAAAAACCAACAACGTTCATGCATATGCAGTTGATTAATGCATGCTGAAAGTAGAAATATTGAAAAGTGGGATGTGTGCTAATCATCCTTACTTGCAGCTGAGAGCTAAGCTGAATAGAGAAGGACAAACCTCGTCCTGATAGAGTTGAAGGCTTTCTAAGGACGCCTCTGCATGTCTGAACGACTCATGTCAGATCATCGAGCACAGCTACGGTAGAAGGTTCAGTTATAGGGCTAATCCCAGCCCACCCTCTCAACCTTCACTGTCGTTGGAAAGCAGAGTACCGGCGGAGACAACCTAATAACCTAGCTATGACTTTCGGTAGAGCGTTGAGCGACTCTTCCATTATGACTAGCAACATGGCTATTTCTTGTATTTAAGTTATCATTGGAGCCGTTTAACCAAGCGACGTTTTCGACAACACGTACGCAAAACCCGAAGCTTAATTTTTAATGATTAATTTACTTATGAGTTAATTACTTTATTTATGAGGCGCATAGCCGAACAGATTAAATCTACTATATTTGGATATGTTGGAGATAGACAGACAAACAGACTCATTAATTCTTTATATATTATAATGCATGTATTATCATGATTAGGTCACGTGCCATGCCTTTTTTGGCAATGACAGAACTGTTGTTGAGGCGAATCGGGAGTTAGTGATAGTTTTATAAAGCGAGTTTATAGCCTGCAGTGTTTTTTTATCATTCGTGAGCATATGTGAGAACCTCAAAAGATATATGTAGCAAAATAAGAGCCTACGGTGGAAGAGTCCGATTCGCAGGCTTTATCGATACACTGTGGGCATCCTTTCTTGGCGCCAGGCCCCCAAAGGCCCACGTCAAAATATGTTGACTGGACACCAGTCTTCATATTTGTCTATTCATTGTCGTGTTTTGTCGTGTCTAAATGTTGTAAATAATTGCATAATTGAAGCAGGAACACGTACTTAGGCCTAATGTGGGCATCCTGAAAACAATTAATTATTTTTATTATCACTCTCAAATACAACAGTTATTCTGTAATGTTAAATTAACCACTTTTTACAAATTCACTAAATAAATGTTCAACATAGCCAATATTATTTAAGGCTGGTGAAAATAGGATTTTAAAAAGTCATGATAAATTAATTATACTATGTACTAGGAATTTCATTCGTGATGTTTATTCCTGAAAATTATTTCGTTGATAAGAGTCCTCATAGCTTGTCCAAAAACACTCTTTTCCCCACCAGCACGTTCCAGCAACTCAAACCACGCGAAAAATCCATGCTCGAGACAAAAACTGTCCATTTCCTCCGGCGAATTCATTACCATGCCTTCACCCATCCACTTCGCCGGCGTCTGGAAGACATTATCGACAACAAACACCAATGGTATATCAGGTTCTATTTGCGTGACTTCGCGTTTAAATTTTAAGGCGCACTCCATCGTGTCACTTTTTGCACCCCAAAACACAATGCCGGCGTCGGAATTTCTATACAGCACTCTATTGGTAGGGAAAAATCGCTCGTTCTCGGGTATATTCCACATTTCAAGTCGAATTTCTTTGCCCGACTTATCGTACAAACATTTCGTGGAGAAACTTCCTCCAATTACGGGAAAATTATTAGGATTTTCACTTATTGTTCCATCGGAGGACCTGTAGTCTTCTATATAGACTCCTTTACTCCAACCACCAGAATAATCACCAACGCAGAGAATTTTTAAAAACTTCTTTCCAGCGTACGTATTGTCAATGGCTAGTTCCGGGTCAATTGATCGAGAACGTTCTGCTTTGAAATTCGATGTACAAGTATTCATTTCGATTATATCTTCAGGTTTCCCTTGTATGTTGTTATGATTGTTCGATGTAACCACACAGGCTTCGGCCATTTTGAGACCAGTCGAATGTTGTTGTATTAATGCCAGTTTTATTGCGCTCAACGTTTATGACTTGATATTCGATCGAGCAAGGCCGGAAATTAAAAGATCGTTTACGTAATCTTATGACTATGACTTTGTTAAACAATTTTAATAAACTTATTATACGCATGATGAAACACTGCATTTCAAAACAAATTAATGCGGCGTGCTGTATGTGGAAAATTGGCAAAACGGATGTTTTTAATTAAAATACGATAAATTATCGATGGAAAACAAATATGTATGTTCATTTTAATTTTAAAATGATATATTTCTCACGTTTTAATATATCCTCAAAATAGTGATACTTATGATTCATCATAGAAATTATGCGGTTCCCTAGGCAACAAGGCATATTTTGCAACACAGACCCCCCGGGAGACCTGTAACTATGCAACCCCAATTTTGCCATCTGAGCAGGCCCGTGTATCCGTATTAGAATTCATTCAATATTACGGTTCAAAATTACGATTAGAGTTAGTAGGGTTGATTTATTAAATTAAGTTGGTATGGTGATTGACCGCAAAATTATCTGTAAGCTATTTCAAATAAAATTGTCGCCGCGCAGCCCACGTAGCCATATTCCATCACGTACACCTTTCTAGTGTACTCTATATTTATATTAGCGAGTTCGCCATTCACGTTGTATTACGTCAGCGCATTAGTAACCAATTTAGGTGCTTATTAATTTTTTATAAAAAATGCCATAATTATGATTGCAGTGCGTTGCATGTGGTCTAACTAAAATGCGGTTCAACTCCAGAATTTTGTGCAAAAATTGCAGTAGGTATTGTCTCGAATTCAATAACTGTTTTGAAAATGATCTATTTCGACTGACGCGACTCTTAGACTTAGTGAAGCTTTGGTAAATAAATAGTTAAGATATCATAATTCAAATATATTATATTTAAACTAACATATTCTGGGTTTTCGAAAGAATCTTCCCAAAAATACAAATACTTCCTTTTACTCAATACTATTTCTTATAATATACATAACATTTTGGGTTTCAAAAACATCTATGTTTAACATATATATATATATATATAGGTTCAATGCTTGCCAGGGTTGACTAAATAACATTGTTCTATATTAAAACTTCAAGAACTAATAAAAATAACATCTCATAGCAGGGTTATAGCAGGGCGCTATATAGTGGGCGACACAGAGAACTGGGAACTAGTCTGCTGATCGATGTGTGATGCAGAGGATTGGTAACGAGCTTGCAGTCATTACCATATCAACGTTTTCATTGAATACAACTGATCTCAGCGAGCTGGATAATTTTTAGTCTTTGTGGTTAAGTTTTGATTAAATGAGTATCGAGGATAAAACTCCGATGTCATATATAATACTTATAATTTACTAAATTCGCCATTTTTCTGGAGTTTTGCTCGAAACGCTTGCGAAAGTTTACAAACCTATATATATAGGCGCTCGAATTTGTCCAATCTTCATGGGAATTACTCGACCAATACAAAATAAATTTGTATCATAAACGTGCCAAACTTCCAGTGGCAATATCCTCATGTGGCGCGCAAGAATATATTTCTTTGATTTTGCTCCTAACCCCATCCCCAACCCTGAAGGTCATAACCTATTGTGCGCGATACATGAGGATATCACCTCACAAGTTGTCTTCAGCATTCACGTGCGTGTCGTGTTGAATATTGAATATATTATCACTTGTGATTGATTGTAAATGTGACGTTGTCCTTATCGTACGGCAGGATTTAACCATCTTTCCCAATTTTATCTTTTTCGTACGAGCTGTCCTCGATGTCCTCATCTGTCCTTATCTCACCCTGAGTGTCCCTTATCACATCCTCAACTTCCTCCACAGTCAAGGGTAGAGATTCGTGCAAGTAATGCAAGTTGCCGCCTTCGGCAAAATCTGCAACAGTTTGACCATGTCCCTTGAGAACCCATTTTGTAGTCAAGAGTCCCTCAACCCCCACAGGACCACGAGCGTGAATTCGTCCCGTGCTGATTCCAACTTCGGCACCTTAAAGATGTCGAGATTATTTTTTTATTTTATTACTATTACACAACCAAAACACAATAAACAACATTGCATATTTAAAATATGCAATTCCAGTGCAAACCAAGAATTGGCCGGATACCGACAACATTGTGATTAGAGATTTCATGTTGGGTTAGTATAGTACATGGAATCGAGAAAATCTGCAGAATAATTCTTTGCTTATAAATACGCCAATTAAGTGAGTTCAACATACTGTAAAAATGAGGTCGAGAAGCAGCAAAATGTATTTTTGTTATACTTTTTAGTTTCTAATTACCCTTTAGTCACTTTTTAAGTAAGAATTAATTTATTGAAAGTGTGTAGAAGAAGAAGGAAAAAGGAAGAAGGAAAAAGGAAGAAGGAAAAAGGAAGATGAAGGAAGAAGGAAAAAGGAAGAAGAAGGAAAAGGAAGAAGGAAAAAGAAGGAAAAAGGAAGAAGAAGGAAGAAGAAGAAAGAAGAAAGAAGAACTATTTATTTATCCCTTTTTAAAAAAATCTATTTACATATTACATTTTAAATTTTGTAGAGTTTCTGGCCACCAGAAATAACCGTAGAAGGTTAAAAATGCCTAGCGGCCAAGAAGAATAAGACGAACCATGCAGAAAGAAGAATAAGACGAACCATGTTATCATAAACATTTTAAAGTTACTCCGTGCTTCGGCTTACAAAATAGTTGACCGGAGAATCATCGTCTGACTACAGTATATAACCATAATACTGTTGATAAAATAAAAAGGAGATAATATCCACTTACCTAGTCCAAAGCGATAACCATCGGCAAAACGAGTGCTACAATTGTGGAAAACACATGCACTATCCACAGTCTTAAGGAAAGTCTGCGCAGCTTCATCTAAAAAACATCATGTAGCCAACAGTGAGTTTGTAAATTTCATGTGATTGACAAAGTTTCAATACAGCTAGGGCAATACATGGTGCATTATCAAACTCAGTCATTCGGAGATTGCTTCGTTTACTATTTTCTACCTATGGGACATACCGTCTTCTGTAACAATCGTATCAGTGTGTGAACTGCCGTATTTGTTAATATGATTTATAGCATCATCAACATCATCAACAACTTCCATGGTGCATTCCAATGCACTGTATTCTTTTCGTAGGGATGTTGCAGGCATTGGCCCAAATGGCAGCGCTTTTGCCAAACGCGAGCCTGGATGAACTACAACCTGGAATGCAAAATATCACCTAGGTGTTAGAATAATTAATGAAAACTGTGTGTACGCGACGGCTAATTATGACTATTCTTCGCCATTTACAAACCGCTCGGGCGTAGTGTGAACGTAGTCTTCAACTTGCTATCTTCAGTATTGAAGCTCAACATACAGGTACTGTAAGGGGTCGCCCACCCACTGAATGTGCCGCCCTTGCGTCCCTTCACATCTACCCTGATGAAGACGCTGTTACCTTGTGATCTCTCAAATTGTTCAAAATATCTTGGAATGCCTGAGTTCCAACGAGATCTTTGTGAATAAGCAAAGTTTCCATGGCGTTGCAAGCAGCTGGATAGTCGCATTTAGAGTCAATTACTAAACACAGAGAAAAAAAAGATATGTAAAGTTATATGTAAAAAATCATCGAATCCTCATCGAAATTGAATTACCTTTGAGTGAAACTACTCAGGTTTATGAGCAAATTTAGTAAAGTTTTTGGTAATGTTTCAAATTTACTCAAAGTTAAGTGGAGTAAAGATTTACTTTACTCTAAAAATATGAGTAAAATTGCTCATAAATTTGACCAATTTTAATAAATATTTTGAGTCACTGTGCAGGGTAAAATATTTTACTCAAAATGTTTTGCAGAGTAATCATAATAAACAAGAGGTCAAATTTGTTCTAGTGGCTTACCAACACGATTGGCCATCGCAGGATCTGCACCTTTATCAATGAACACGTGACATATTCCCTCTGCATGACCAAGCACAGGGATCCCCTTACTCTTTTCTTGAATTTGTTGCACAAGTTCATTCGAGCCACGAGGAATGACGAGATCGATAATTCCTTCCAGTTTCAGGAGATCGCTCACAGCCTCTCGGGTGCTCACCTAAACACCGTAAAATTCACATTGCATAAAGTATCCTACCTAAAACAGGCACAACATTCCTGGGGTACACAGAAAAAACGCTTACAGCCTGTAACAATGTTGTTGAAAACAGGCCTGAACAATATTTTGCTGCCCATATTGTTCTTGGTTGTTAACAATATTGTCCAGCATTGTTCGGCTGAACAATATTGTTAACTACCAGGAACAATATGGGCAGCAATATATTGTTCAGGCCTGTTTTCAACAACATTGTTACAGGCTAGGCGTTATTTGCAGTGTACAAAGGGACATGTACCTGTACTGTACCCCACTTTGAAATCGATAAGTGCATGATATCGGCAACTACAGTAGGTATAACATCAAACATGTTTTGCTACTTCGCTTAAAATACACTCGCCTTCCCGCGCTCATATATGAACACACTTAGCGGGCGTAAATTGTGTCGGCACAACGCATGCTTTATGCTATCTAGAAAGCATGTAAAAATTTAAAACAGGTATAAGGAATCAACAAAAGTAAGACTTGCGAAATAAAAACAAATCATGCTTGACATCAGGCTTGACAAATCATGCTTTCAACAAGGAAAATGGTAGTGATGTACAGTACCACACGAGTACAGTATCTTATTATTGTATCATGTATGCCTAAATTAGATTAAATCTATAGCCCTAAAGTAAAGTTTTCTTACCAGTTGTACGGCTGTTCTTGGAGCATACCTAGCCACAGATTCTTGGACGATTTTTAACAAACAACGGTTGCTATGATACGCCTCTTTGCCGCCTTTCAACAGCAAACCATTGCCGGTGCTGAGTCCTAAGGCGGCTACCTAATATGAGAAAAGATAATTCTTCATGTTTTTATACTTTCTGATTCGCAGAGTTTAAATTCTTAAATCCCATTGCAGTACGAGGATGGTCTTTATAGAGCAAAGGAAACAAGATGAAGCCATATTCTTGCATTTAAACTTTAAACTTTGATGTGTCTTCGCTACAAAAGCAGGCTTTTTGGTTATATTTAACATTCCCTGATATGACCGCGAATACTACGAACAGAATGCATGGTACATGAAAAGTTAATTAGTTTGGTTAAATAACCTGTGGTAATGCATCAGGACGGGATTCAAAGATCACCATTAACACACCAATTGGTACTGTTTCTTGAACGAGTTCCAAGTCTTCCGCTATCTTAGTTCTACGCAAGATTCGTCCGATGTTTTCATGGGAACTCTCAGCAATCTGTCTAATTCCCGCGGCCAGACTGTTGATTTTGTTCGGGGTTAGTGAGAGCCTTGATAACATGGGTGGAGTGAGGTTTTGTGATGAAGTAGCGGTTTCAAGGTCGAGGGCGTTCGCATCGAGGATTTCCGTTGTTCGTTCTTCAAGGAGATCGGCCAATCTGTACAGTATTTCGGCACGCTAAAAGAAATAACATCCATTTAATTAAACCAGAGAAGCGAAAGTATGTCCTACATTATATTTAGACTGCGAGCAGTTCTCGCAGTCTAATTACACTTGGTTGCCTTGAATTTTTAACGGGAAAGAAGTTTGCAAACAATGAGATGTGAAATCAATACTCCTATATATGACCGTTGTTTTAACCTAGTTGTTGTAAAAATTATAATTATTAATTCAAAAATTCACAGAAATGAACTAATTTGTAAAGGATAGGAAGACAAACCTCCTGTGGCCCTAATGCTTGTAAATCTCGTCCAGCTTTCCTAGCTGTGAAAAAAAAACACTCGTTTAACATGTAAATCATCTAAGGACTATTAGTTGTTTTGGCTCATTAATTATACAGTATGTGCCAGTACATGACGACTAAAATCGTCTGGTGTTAGAGAGAGTAAAATAGGAAACTATAGTGCGCATCAGGACATAATGCCATGCACTTAAAGGGTTAAATAATTGTTGCTTCTGACAAAGCTGTTCATCTATCAATGGCACCATATAAACGGTAAATTGCTCAGGATAATGACAAACGCATCACTACTGTATATTTACTAAATCACCGTTTTTCATGACAGGTGAAATTGTCATAAAGTGGTAATGTATACTGTAGGTTTTTTATATTACCGTCCATAGCCTGTTCCTCCACTGAAGGTCCGGACTTTTCAGCAAGAGAAAAGAAAGTTCCTATTTTACATCCAGACATGATCTTGGAAAGAGCATGATATTCAGAACCAACACCATTCGCGACGACTACCGATGTACCACGTTCTAGAGCCCATATGGAGGATTTAACCTTTCATTAAATGAAACAAATTCATATGTTTAAACACAGATTGATGATTCGGGGAATTATAAACCGAAAACGATAATGAACAAAACTGTAATTATTAAAAGTTGTAATTTGCTTAATAGTACATCCTTAATGTGACATTATGATACAGAATATAAAAATACACATACCAAAGCAAGTCAAATAATTTTAGCCAAATACTGTATCTTATCTACAGTACTTATCTACATCATGAAATGTTCGACGTACAATTGAATTAATATGAAAAAATAGTGTAAAATTTCGCGCATTACTATTTACAAATTAATCCATAGAATGCCAATACTCTCCCTTTGACAAGTATAAAATCGTCTGGCGTTAGACAGAGTAAAATAACAAAGTAGTGCGCGTCAGGGCGCAACGCCATTTAAAGGGTTAACGAGACACATGGGCAGATAGTCTGATTGATTCAGTGAGTGTCAGCACTCTCCCCTTCATGAGTCAGTATAAAATCGTCTGGCGTTAGACAGGGTAAAATAGTATGGCGTTAGATAGAGTAAAATAAAAAGTAGGGCGCATTAGAGAGCATTGCCACGAGCATTGCTACACTAGGATAAAACCACACCTTCGATTCCATTCCTCCCATCCCAACTCTAGACTTCCCGCCAAAGGCGATGTTTTCCAAATCAGACGGATGAAACTTTGAGATGAGTTGAGAATCACTACGGCCAGGAGGCGAGGTGTAAATACCGTCAACATCAGATAGCAGAACTAAGACGTCAGTTCGCATTTCAACAGCAAGCAAGGCAGCCAGACTGTCATTGTCCTTTAAACTTATAACCTGCAAACGTACATATGAGAAGTAATGATGGCAGTAATAAAAAGACTTGAATTTAAGGATTTGAACATATGTCTATGGTACCTATGACTTTGTTTAATTTATGCAACAACTTGTGCATCTGTCTTTGTTTTCCCTCACTCTCTAGTATTGCATGGACCATTCCATTTAATACAGGAACCACCTTTACTGAGGGCAGCGTCGCTGATTAGCGTGCCAGTTTCAATTCCACAGATTACGTTTAAGACTACTAATTATAGTGGATTAAAATTTTGAATTGACTGATAGCCTCACTAATATTTTCTTCAGCGACGTCTTACGATTTTCCTTTATTTTCTATTTTGTGGTCAATTAATAGAGTACATTCAGTTTTTCCATTTTTCTATTCGTGATTATTCATCAAGTATAAATACAGTATAATGTATAAATAATGATCCAAATGAAAGCCATAATTTTTTCTACCACTACATGTAGTTAAATGCTTGTCAATATAAAATATTCACGTACAGGTATCTTGAAATATTTATTAAAGTTTAATAGTGGCGAAGTACATTTTAAGTACAATAACTGTTGATTAAGCAACGTGTACTGTACGAGTAACCTACAAGCCTTATGTGTACTATTGTACAAGTTTAACCTGCATTTTAAGAAAATACTTACCGAGTTTGGCTTTCTTCTCAACTATGAAATAGAAGAAAATAAAAGCATTTGTGTAAATATGACCTTATATAAATAATGAATGTTTATGAATGGTAAAAAATATTTTCATGAGGTGAAAGATGCATTTTTCCATCCACGAGACAACAGCCAAGTGGAATGGACAATTCCATCTTTCACCGAATGAAAATATTTCTACCATTGCACGAATGAAAACATTCATTATTTGTTTTATATAACACCAAAATAAATCAATGTTATCAATGTTTTATTGCCGGAATTAAATATGAAACCAATAATACCCGAGTTTAAATTAATAGAAATCCAACAAATATGTCCCAATTTAATGTTCGAGTGAAGATTTAACGTAATGATGGTATTTATTACACTGCGCACTGGAATGGTGATTTTTGTTCCATATCATGTGATCATAATCAGCCAATTATACAGCATTTTAAATTACCACCATTCGTGTTAAAACATAAAACGGTTTAATTAACGTATACAGTAGCATATTACGTAATGTCCAAAAGACCAAAGTCGATCCTTTACTATTTATTACAATAAAATCTGCAATGAAATTAAAAATAATCCATTGCATTTTGAATTTATAACTACTGTATAACGCATGATATATTAGAAAACTGAATCATTGTAATCATTAACTGTAAATCAAACGAATTAATGAGATTGATTGACCATTCGATTCTATTTTAATTATATACATCATGATTACAATAAATTATAATTAGTAAAATTAAAATCTGATTACATGTAATGGTAGAATTATTATTGCTTTGATTAGATCATTATTATTGCATAATTCACATAGCTTATAACCCATAACTAACGTAACGTTCTTATAAACTAACAATTGAAAAATAATAGGGAATTGATATTTAGTTATATAGCTCTTCTGTTTGCCATGCACGTTTCCAATAAACCATGTTTCGCCAGTCACGTAGCGAACTAAATTCAGTCTGTGAGCAGGCTACCAGTCACTTGTGAAAATTGTTGCCAAATACTGCATGCACACTATGGGGAGCAAATGGCAATCCTTTCATTCAACTTTAAAACTATATACTGTAGAGCATATAGTAGTAGCCTCAGGAGATGCCATTCATTGATTAAACATCGTTTAACAGACACTCAGACAGTATCACTATGAAATAACATCTACCTGGCAAGTGCATGCATCCACCAGAAACTTACTGTACCTTGACTCATACACCTGTACACAGCGCATGTACGTATAAATATATCAATTCACTTGCACAAAATATTAAATCCCTTTTGAATGGACTGAAATTATATTTTTTATTTACTTTTCAAAAACCGGTCAGTGATGAGAGAAATTTACTTGTAAAGTAGTATACGTACCCCTTTTAGATCGTGATCCTCGCCTGGAGGAGGAGCTACTGCATCGTTTGTGTTGATGATGGGTATGCAGTTCATTTTGATCAATGCATCCATTGTTGATCTCAAATTATTTCTCAGTTCAGGATCTTTAAAATCTGGCGTAGTTACAAGAACCTGAAGGTAAAAGTTCATTTCTGCTTTATACCAAAATACAAAAAAACATGAATACCTATAAAATGTGCAAAATATATATAACAAAAATTTAAGAGATAATAAAAAATAAACATAAAACTAAAATAGACTTTGGATTCATACAGTATACAAAAACTATACGCGTTTACAACAAAATTATTTTATCAATCCTGGCGAATGAAAACATAAGGGCCTGATACTCAGGTTAATGTTTTCGAGTCTATAGACCCATTGCACATGACGTCACAGCGCTAGTGATGATGCATCTGGAGGACAAATTAGCAATCTATGTATAATATAACTTTTGTAAACAAAGCAAATTTTTTAAAAGTTTATAATAATTTTGTGTTAAAATGGTTAATTTTTGCGCTGTATGTGGTTATTGTATCCGAACAGATATTGTTAGGGAGCATCTGGAGGACACTCTAAGGATTTGTGACGTCAGTGCAAAGGGTCTATTCAAGGACTTATTTCGGGAAACTTCGCAAGCCAGCTCTCTACCTCCGCTGGGCACTGTAAATATAATGATTTGATTCACCTTCTACAAAGTATTATGCACATGCATAAGTTTGAAAGAAGAATACACTTAGATTTTGTGTATGAATGTATATCGATTCAAAAACGTTTTAAACTGAATTGGTCCATACAATATTTACCTGAGCACAAGTCAATCCATATTGACTAAACATTGCTTCATATAATGAAAGTAAACCACCCTGACCTACAGCAGCACAAGCTCTTGGTTCAAGCTGTGGCATCAAATTACCCTAAATAATTAACAATATATACAATTTGTACAATTAAAACTACAGTTTTTAAAATATTTTCTATATTTCCTATTTTGCCTGTCAGTTCAGTTAATTGTCATCCTCAGTTTTCCGTTTAACCCATGAGCCTTGAACTTTTTCATGTTATTCTGTTTTGTGCATTGCTTCATTTTTCCTGGGTGTCATTTCTATTCAACTTTCAATTTTTATTTCAATCTATGAATTCATGTACAGTGTATTTTTCACATGATATTTTTCAGTGTTAAAATGTACAGTATGTTAACTTAATTAATTATTTTATTGTATGTGGTATTGTTTGTCATTGTTCTTTAATATGGCGTTTATGCTGTTTGTATTTTTCTGAATCTATTTACTTCTGAGTATTTAAATTCTTATCATGCCTCATTCTTTCTAGTTCGCCACGTTTCTGTATGTGTTCTTCTTTCCCATGCATATTTGTTTTATAATGTATTTCTTAATGCTCACATGTACTGTGTGTCAATTGTCATTGTTATTAATTTTCTTTGTTTCACTAAAGAATGAGGTCAATGTTATATTCATTGTACCTGAGGATGTTCATTGGGTCTCAATGATTGCCTCATACTACGAGAGAGAAGTAATTCATGTCGTAGTCTTTGCTTTCCAAATGCAACAGCACCACTTGTAACCACCATCATTTCATAACCCAACTGTTGCAATTCTGAGATCTAACAAAAAATTGGACGTGTCCTAAACAATATACTGTACGAGTGATTATAGCATCAAATAGAGTCAGAAAAATTCCCAAACTTATAGTTGTATGCTAGCCAACAGAAACTTAACTTTCTAGAATTTAAGAAATACTATAGTTTGGGGCTGTGTTCAATGAATGCTACTCTTGATCCAGAAAAAAACAACAATAGAATGGGGAGACAAAAAGAAATGCAAAGAGCCTCTGGTCAAATCAATTGCAAATTCACTTTAGGGGTGCACCGGAACTAATAAAAAAGCATGGCCGGTGTCCCAGGATTTTCGCCCCCCCTACAATTTCGCCCCCCGGGGGGCGAAATTCCTAGGAATATCGCCCCCCCTGGGGGCGAAAATCCTAGGAAATTCGCCCCCCTTTAGGAAATTCGCCCCCCTTTAGAAACTTCACCTTTTCTTTAGGATTTTTGTCCTCCGTTCAAAATTTCGCCCTTCCTGACAGTTGCATGGGATAATTATTACATGGCTTTAGTCATTTGAAATCAGTATCAATTAAAAATTGTTAAGACAGAGCTTGAAATAACAACCGATCAATGATCGGCATGGAATTGCTTATGATCGGCGGAAAAGCAGAGTTTCAGTTTTCAACCTGAAAAAATCAGGGAAAGTCATGATCGAGAACTTTGGGAACGTTATTTCAAGCCCTGTAAGAATACAAATTTACAATCATACATGTATCGAAAGGGCTTACACAGTTCACAGTTAATAGACCAAGACTTATGACGCTTCACAGCACACCATGCATATTTTGCATTTTTACTGCGTTAATCCTTAAACTCATTGTTAAAAAGTAATCACCGTGGTGGTTATTGTAATTATTGGTATTGTTTTGCATCCAGTACATTTTGTCGTTATCGGAAAATGTATGGCTTACAAGTTGTCACTACTTGCATTATTTCAATATAGTTTGTAAATTTCAGAAGCGAAGGGTAGAACTTGCCAATAAGCAATACTCCAATAATATACGTTTCAAAAAAGACAAGAGACATTCTCGAATGTTTAAGGCACTAATAAAATCAAAGTATCATGAAATTATTTCAATAAACCACACCACATATATATAATGCAATTTTCTTTGCGGAAGTTAAAAATCAAGATTACATCACTGACACTGACATGGAAAGTTGACGATTCAATGGACAATAGTCAATACGCTTCCCAACAAATTCCATAGATTTTTTATTAATCCTATAGTTTATTGTTAGCAAGTGATTAATGTGGCGGCTATTGTTAACACTGGTATTGATAAAATTTGCAAACGATTGTTTTTATAATATGTTATGTCAACTTATGTGAATGTAACTGCCAGAAGAATACGACAACATGATTTTATGCGATCTCTGTGGGCAATGGTTCCACTTTAGATGTGTAGAATAACACCACCAGCTGCTAAGAAGCTTAAAATGTGTATGTGATTTTGTCTCCTTGTAATAAATAAATCACACAATAAATCTTTTCAACTTGCAATCGTTTTGTTTTTAGATAAAAAATTCAAATTTATATGGGGGGGCGAAATTCCTAAAGGGGGGCGATATTCCTAGGAGATTCGCCTCCCTGGGGGGCGATATTCCTAGGAGATTCGCCCCGGGGGGGCGAATATCCTAGGAATATCGC